GATGAAAAGACATTTTTGAACATCTTAGGTTTAAATGTAGACGATGATCACTCATCTGAGTATATATCTGTATTTACTTAAACAGGATTCAAGGTATCTAAAACCAGGATTAATGTTTATTAAAAGACAAAAAATATACATATTTGTCGTTGTGTACAAATTACCTACGGACATAATTATTGAATATTTTTTTAATTTTAATTGCAATTTTAATTCATAAATGACTACTAACAAAACCTACCATCAATATTTGCAGAAGAAAATATGAAACAAATCTCGATACTTGCAAATCTAGTGAAAATTTATATTGTATTTAAAATGCTTTATGCTGTTTTATAATTTAAAAGTAAATATAGCAATCATAGTTAATTTTAAGCTTAGTTATATTCCCATAACTTTCTATTCAAAATGACGATCACATATTTTTATATTATTATAAATGTAATAATCTTCCTTTTGTTTCATGGCTTCATTTAAAATATTTTTCCATTGAATGAATTTCTCCAAATTTCGGTATTCAGTTTTAGGAAATTGATGAAAAGGATCTGAAATGTTTTTATTAGAAGTCAATAAGCTGTTACGGTTGAAATTGATGTAACGTATATTTTTATTATATAGATTTTACTAAATAAGTATCGTACTTTTAGTCGCACACCGAAAATAACACTTAATAGCCGATTTTCGTGGCATTTTTTCAACTTATCGATAATCCAAATTCGTAGTTTGCAATCAAAATCCAAATGAGAAGAGCCGGGGTCGATTGTAGTCGCAGAAAACAATGTCCAATTGAGAAAAGCCGGGATCGATCGTCAAAAGCGAGGAAATAGTAGTCAATGATATATTAAGCCGAGTCAAATGTTCGAAAAAGAACGTACAGCACAGTCAACAACGGCAAAATGAGCAACGGAAATAATTAAAAATTTGTCCACACGTCAAATCAATTTGAGAGCTACTTACGCCATCTATGAAGTTTTAAAGGAAAATAGTGTCAAAGTTGTTGTACCTTGTTCTTGAGACTTGAGATGGCAGTACTTTCTATACATTAATTTCTTACACGTTAATTATATGACAGTTTCATCCCCATTTTTCGCACTGGAGAAAGGAAGGGGTTTAACCGCGGGGGGAACGCTCGGGCGGCTTGTATAGCGGGAACGCGACGCTCGCGCAATGGCCTTGATTCTTGAATATTGTTGAGGCGCTATAAATTCAAATTAAAACTATAATGATAAAAAAGAATTCATTTATATTTAAGTTCTTGGAGTGCTAGATACTTCTATTAAATTGATTAAGCCATATAAGGCAGGTATACACTGTGGGGACATGTGAACAATTCCAATTACTTTAGGCTAAAACATATGGATATTCGTAATATTCCCCACAGTGTACCCTCACCCCCATGACTAGATATCATAAATGTACCTTTATGTTCAAGAGATACCCCACTCTTTAACATTCCAAGTATATTTTATATATAAAAAACAAATCAACTTTTTGCTTTGGCATCTCAAAAATGTAGTTTTTTTTTTTGGAATCATTTATTATTTTTCAAATCTTTTCTAATATTATAAATGGGAAAGTAGCCGTCTGTCTGTTACCTTCTCACGACTAAACCGCTGAACCGATTGTGATGAATTTTGTATGAAGATAGATGACGCCGATTACCCGATCACGAAACTACACGGATGGAACACCATGAAGTGGAAGTAGTTCAGGTTCAGTGGCCATAGTGACAGAGAACAACTGTGATGTACACGCAGACGGAGACGCGGGCAAGAGATAGTTAGTATTATAACTACATATATTCATTTATTCAGACAGTAAGTTACAAACATACAAACCAACATACAAGTGAAGCTAAGAAACAAGCGTTAGAAATATTTTTAACAAATAGGAAAGCTGTATCGTATTTATGGTTTTAAAATAATCCAATAGCAAAAATGAGGTTACTTAAAATTGTTTAATAATTGTAATTGTTACATTTTACGTCTCCATTAATATATTAAACTAGTTTTTGCCCGCGACTTCGTCCGCGTTAATTTCGTCATCTATACTAATATTATAAAGCTGAAGAGTTTGTTTGTTTGTTTGAAAGCGCTAATCTCCGAAACTACTGGTTTGAATTGAATAATTCTTTTTGTGTTTTATAGTCCAGTTATCCAGGAAGGCTGTGGGCTATATAACATCACGCTACGACCAATAGGAGCAAAGATATAGTGGTAAATGTGTAAAAAACGGGAGAAATTATTTTATCTTTGAAGCCTTCCGTTGCGTGCGCCGTGAAAACGGTTCAAGATACACAAAAAATATGTATTAAAGAATAATAGCTCTTTTAATAATCTAAAAAACAGTCCGCGACAGTATATGTCTATCTTTTAAGATTAACTCACAAAAATCGTTTTTATGGTACCTAATTTGGTCGAAATAATTTTATAAAATCTTTATTCAAATAAACAAATAAATATGTTATTGGTTAAGAGTACTTCATTGTGAATAAAAAAAACATAGGTTTTATCCTGAAAACTCTACGGGAACTCCAATTCCATTCCAAAAACCCCGCAAGAACGGGAACTATGTCGGAAGAACCAAAAATCTGCCGGAAGTCACTATTCCACGCGGACGGAGTCACGGCAAAAGCTAGTTAATAATATATGTATAGCTGACCGGGCGAACTCTATCCCGTCTTAAATAACCAGGTATTGGTATTTATTAATTTTTTCCTGTTTCAATCGAACAGAATGATTGACATATTAGTAAGTTGTCAAATCTAATGTCAAAAAAAAACGTATAGGAAATAGAAAAGGGCTGATTTTAGAGTTTTCCCGGAAATTAATAATTTTTTTTCAGCTTTTAGAACTTCCCTGAACCTCAACGAACTTTTCAAGACTAAGATAAGATAAATCTGTTCAGCCGTTCTCGAGTTTTAGTGAGACTAACAAACAGCAATTCATTTTTATATACATATATAGATGTAAATAAATTTTTTTAATAATTGATTTACATATGTACTATCTTTCATTTATTTATTTAATCATTATGACGTGTCGGAAGCTTTCAGTTAATGTAATAAAAATAAAAGTATTGAATAAATAAACTCAAAAAATATTCACCCTTACTATAAATAATAACAGAATAATATTAAAAAATCAACATTAAATATTTTACATACCGTCTACACTACTATCGTACATCAGCTACATACACTTCTCTTCATAGAAGGTTTCCTCTCGGCCGCAGACCACGTCCTAACAGACGCTCCACCAACAGCTTCTACCCTCATCTTGAATTATATATTCTCACGAGTCCTGGAACGTTACAAATAATACTATTTCATATAAAGACTATCCACTTCATAATAAATTATCATTGTTCATATTAAAGATAGCACATATTTTAAGATGTGGTCGAAGATTAATAATGAATAGTAATGAATTAAACCAAACTATCAAATTAATAAGCCTTCGCCAAATGTAGCGTTTAGAAAATAATAATTTTCTTAAGACTGCGGTCCTCTACAAAGATTTGTTTGGATATCATTAACTTTACTTATCTTTATATTTTGAAACTAACATATACAGGGTGACTGGTGAATTACTATCAATATTTAAGGAGCATACTCGGTACATGATTCTCATTCGAATTATGTAAAAAAAATAGGTACTTAATTTTTGACCAAATTTCCGTATAAATAAATAAAGTGTTGACACGTTCCAAGTGTTCCAAGTGTGAACGCGTGCGGCGGCGTGCTGATACAACAACACGCCGCCGCGCGCGAGTGTGTGTGTGTGTGCGTGTATACCTAATCTGTAGGGTGTTCATACGATGCGTAATTAATTACATAACTTTTGGTTTACTTTACTTAGAAGTTTATTAATTTTTATGTTACATTAATTTTTATTTTGTCATATATGATCGTCAAATATCACGTCCTCAAATATCGATAGTAATTCACCAGTCACCCTGTATATCATGATCGATGGACAGACCATGTAGTGAAAACATACGACGGTAGTGAAACTATGAGTACTTTTATTGTGGGAGATGTTTCTGTAGGAGAGGTCTAAATTGTTTTAAATAAATTAAAATTAATTATCTTTCTATGTATAGGTACGTACATTCCAGGAGGTTCTTTGATATCAATAGACACATCAAACACGTACTGTACATGTTTATAGTGAACACACTCCTTATATTGTCTGGAGACTGCTACAGTTGATACTTCAAGTCTTCTCTATTCTAATATGTTACACTAACCGAGTCATTCTTCTCTTCATATAATTTTATGTTTCATCAATACTTGTTTCATTGTTAGTTTTCATCTAACACTTGATGATCAGCCGTCATCTCCTGATGGATGAATCTCAAGTACAGTCCAATAACACCATCTGTAATACATAATACAATATTGTTCTTATATAAAGACATACAAAGACACTTCAATTATTGTCCGTTTAAAATAAATTATTAAATGTTATCACGTTTATTTATGTCGAACCGTTTATTTAAACACAATAAAGTGGACACACAGTAACATAAAAGGGAATATAAGGCAAATACAAACAAATGCGAATCAATCTTACTCCATGACCGTTCCCTTTCGTGTCCTAGTTCGCACTGGAGAAAGGGCTTATAAATTCAAACTATAAAAAAGAATTCATTTAGTTTTTAAGTTCGTGGAGTGCTAGATACTTCTATTCCATTGATTAAGCCATATAAGGCAGGTATACACTGTGGGGACATGTGAACAATTCCAATTACTTTAGGCTAAAACATATGGATATTCGTAATATTCCCCACAGTGTACCCTCACCCCCATGACTAGATACCATAGATAACACAGTTGTTCATAGAATTCACATATTATACATATTATGTCAAAAGATTTGGTATACATATAAAAAATTTAGGTACTTGTAATAAAACACATATATTTTGTATATTGTTTTTATAATTTAGTAAATAATAAAAAAAATTAAGATTAATAATAAATATCGATAATAAATTCAATTTTTCTTATAACTTCTTAAAATTGGATGTATTATGTCAACTGCTTCATAAACTTCTTGATTAGTTTTGGCGCCTGGAACAAATGTAAAAAGGAATTATGAGATGATAAAATTAATTTATATATTTATAAGTTTATAGTTACCTGTTATAACCATTTTTCCATTAACAAATATTAGCAACACTACTCTTGGTCGTATCATTCTATATACAAGGCCAGAGAAAAGTTCGGGTTCATAAGAAGTGAACTGACCGTGAGCTTGCTGTAACGCTTCCAGTTTTATTGGAAATCTTAAATCTGCTGTTGCTAGAAAATTAAGAACTTTGAAATCAACAAATTTCACCTGCAATATAAAATGTTTTTGTCAAGATACATATTTTTTCCATTCAACTGCAAACATAAGCATCAATTTATTGGTAATTAATGTAACAATTGAACTTGAATGAAAATATCATGAAAAATAGGATCTACAGGGTGACTGGTGAATTACTATCAATATTTAAGGAGAATACTCAGTACATGATTCTCATTCGAATTATGTAAAAAAAATAGGTACTTAATTTTTGACCAAATTTCCGTATAAATAAATAAAGTGTGGACACGTTCCAAGTGTGGACGCGTGCGACGGCGTGCTGATACAACACCACGCCGCCGCACGCGTGTGTGTATACCTAATCTGTAGGGTGTTCACACGATGCGTAATTAATTACATAACTTTTGGTTAACTTTACTTAGAAATTTATTAATATTTATGTTATATTAATTTTTATTTTGTCATATATGATCGTCAAATATCACATCCTCAAGTAAGATAGTAATTCACCAGTCACCCTGTATAGGGCACAAGCAGAAAACACCGAAAGTAGCTTGATTGCAAAATTCTTATAGATATATCAATAGAATTTTGATGTTCTTAAATCAAGTTACCGGAAAACCAAGTTTCTGGATAATTCTGGCAAATTTTCTAGCTGCTATATATGAGTCATGTCCATTTTTGGCTCCAGTACAAACTATTTTACCAGACCTGTAAATTAAAAATGCAATAGAAGATAGAATATTATATTACACTTTGTCGTTAATTTATTAATAATTAAGTTACCTAAATACTAGGGCTGTTGCTCGAGGTTCTAAAATCTTCATAACGACTCCATTAAATCTAGCAGGGTTGTATTCTGAAAACCTTGTTCTACAGTATATGTCTAACAAGTTCAGTTCACAGTCTAAACTTACTGTTGAAATACAATTTCTGAAAAAAATATAGTTTTACAGTTTATAGAGCATGTTCAATAGCTTAAATCACATTAAACTACTGTATATACGCATTTACTTACTGGAATTTTATACTATTTTTTGCTTGATCAACCGCACTTGCCATTGGGGTAATGGCGCTCATAGAATTATGTGGATTCACAGATGGAGTTTGTGGAGTGAATGTTCGATGTGTTGGTGTTAAAGTGATATCTCCTGAAATATGTGGAGTTGACGGCATATTTTCTATGGAGTGAGGCTTAGGTGTTCCACCTGTTAAAATTTTCGTATTTCCTCTTTGTTGATTCTGTTTTTCATTAACTGGTGTATATCCATCAGTCTGCTATAATATATTTTTTATTAATACAAATATTGTATGTGAAGTAAAACTTATCATAGTTCACCTACCATGTTTTGTACATTAGTATCAGTTCCAGTATCAGCCATAGGGCAGTCAGGTACAGAAAGATTTGAATCCATTGTGAAAAAGAAAAACTATTTTCACTATTGCATTTGTATTAAATATTAAACTGTATAAAATATATATATCTAGGTATTTTTTTATTTATTATCGTTGTTAAATTAATGTTAATAATGATTTAGACTGTTGTGCATTCAATAATTTAAAAAAATCTACAGTAAACGTGCTCAGTTCTTCAAATATAGAGAGAGATATTAGATCTGGACCATTGAGACTAGGGTCTGATCTCTGATGACATTTGCCAAAATTAACACGACTGACAAATGAACAATGACAATTAACATTTTTTTTCAAAATGTTTATACAGCTCTAGATACTAGTCCTTTTGAGCCTGACAACTACCGACATTTTTAATTATTGCAATGTGATGAGTATTTTATTAACACGGGGAAATAAAATTAAGTAAAATTAATAAAACAGTTATAAAGAGTAGAGTAGTAATATATTTTTGTAAAATAAAATATCCTATATCTTTAAATTTACCTTATTCATACAAAATCTAAGTTTTTTTAGAGCAAGGATATAATTGTTGTTATTTGTATGTATATAATGGTTTGCCAATTTTATCTTAACTTATGATCTAATCCAAAAAATTATGTCTGATATTTGCCGTAGATAATTTCATCGGTATAGAATATAAAACCTATGTACATATAAGAACAACATTTAACCATAACGCATATTGGAAACTTTAGTATTAGATAGAGAAGCGTCCAGATTGAAGACTATTTAACCGAAAACTGCCATTATTATATTTTGGAAAATAATATTTGCTGTATAAAAAAACTTTTTGAATTTAATAGACATTTAACAAACATTGACAATAGAAAAAGTATGATAATTATCAGTATGGCATAATATTGTTAGAAATATTGGTGACATAAAAAGAAGTTAGGAATAAGTATAACTTACTTTATTTAAAATGCAAAAAAGGACCATAGTCCATTTCACTATGTCACAAAAATAAAATATAATAAAAAATAATGCACTTATGTCATGATTCCGAATTTGGTCATTTGATTTTGACATAATGAAAACAATATTTCTTGTCAATGTCAAACTGTAGATTCTGTTTATGATTTTTGTTCAAGTTAATTCTAATTTAAATCGAAAAACATCTATAATTTTGTTCAACCTAATCACATATAATTTTCAAAATAATGGCTCCTAAAGCTGGTGGTGATTCTGCTAAAGTTAATTCGTCTGTATACAAAGATAAAAGTAAACCTACAGATATTCGTCTGAGTAATATAAATGCCGCAAAAGGTAAGATATAATTCTTTTATTTCAATTACAAAATAAATAAGATGTATTCATTAACTTTTAAATTTTACTTATAGAGATATTTCTTTAAACAATTTGAAGTTCCGTATCTTAGTTTTATGTTATTTTGCAATTCGTCAAAACTTCAGCTGCTACAATTTTTATAATTTTTTACAATAAATACTACATATTTTTCAGAAAACCTATATTAATTAGGTTTACTATACATGAAATAATCGCTTAAGCATTGTTTAAAACCATTTCTTAATATCCAATTTTAATAATAACCCTTTTCTAAGTAACTCTCCATTTCAAAAGGAATAAATTACTACGTGATGTAGTTTCTTCCGTAGTAATTTTGTGATTTAAGTGAATTAATGACAATAATCTTCACTGAAAGCTTTTTCTCTTTACAGCTGTCTCAGATGCTATTCGTACAAGCCTTGGCCCTAGAGGCATGGATAAAATGGTAAAAAAACCCTAAAGGTATTATTTTATAACTATGCAAAAATAACACATGCTCAACCATTATTTTATTACCATTTCAGATTCAAGCTGCAAATGGAGAAGTGACCATTACAAATGATGGAGCAACTATTTTGAAACAAATGAGTGTGATTCATCCAGCAGCTAAAATGGTAATTTCAGTTTACATTTCACAAATTACATACAATATTGACTTAGGCTAGTATTGTAAGCTCTAATAGTTATATGGTTCTTAATAGAAATAATATATTACAGTTAGTTGAACTATCGAGGGCTCAAGATATTGAAGCTGGTGATGGTACAACATCAGTCGTTGTGATTGCTGGAGCACTGCTTGACGCTGCTGAAAAGCTATTACAAAAGGGCATTCACCCCACTGTTATATCTGACGGTTTCCAAAAGGCTTTACAGATGGCTCTACAGGTAATATAATATCTATTGTAACTTGTATTTACAATTGTAACATTAATTATACCTAGGTACTTGTTTAATTTACAATTACTTAATGCATAAGTTACGTTTAAATATTTACTAGGGAATATTAATTTCAAGATGAATTCTTACAGTGATATACACATTTGTCTTACCGTCATTAAACAGCGTTTTAGTACAAATCCTTCATAGATGTCTATTCATTTTATTTTTGTAATTTGTCCTTTGCACATAAACAATTACAATAGAAACTCGATTATCCGACCCTCAGTTATACGTATTCGCGATTATCCGGACTATGGACAAGTCCAGACAAGAAAAGTTGTCAAAGAGTAAGGGAATTTTGTTGTTGAGAGTGGCGTACGTGAAATGACAATTACCAAAATATATTCTAAACCAAATTAAACTTATTATTTTATTTATTTTATATTAGTTTATATTAGTAAATTATTTTATATTAGTAATTTATTTCATGATTAAATCTGTTTTTAGTACATACATGTATTTGTTTGTATATGTAATCTAAGAAAATATATCCTTTAATTATTTATTACTAAACATTGATTTTCGTTGATATCTATTTGTTACTTTTTTTTAAATAAACATATAATAACATCATACAATCGATTATCCGGATTTTCGATTATCTGAATGCCTATTGACAACCATTAGTCCGGTTAATCGAGTTACTACTGTACATGGGGAGGAATACTTTTTCAGTGTTTTATAAAATTTACTTGCAGGTTATTGAAGGAATGTCAACTCCAGTTGATTTAAGCAATGAAGATGCACTATTGAAAGCTGCTGCTACTTCTTTGAACTCAAAAGTGGTGTCACAGCATTCTACTATACTAGCTCCAATCGCTGTACAGGCAATCCGTGCAGGTAACATAACTTTTCATATATAAGTATATATACATATACAGGGTGACTGGTGAATTACTATCGATATTTGAGGACGTGATATTTGACGATCATATATGACAAAATAAAAATTAATTTAACATAAATATTAATAAACTTCTAAGTAAAGTTAACCAAAAGTTATGTAATTAACTAGAAGACCCGGCGAACTTCGTTTCGCCCTATAATCAAGAAATATCTGTTACGTTTTTTTATTTATATTTTTGGAGTTTACCTATTAAAGCCATAAATCTCCGTGTTTTGAAGTGATTAGGAATGATTAATAGTTAATATGAGAGTTACACTGAGCTAGCAAAATAATAATTGTCAACGTTACTACTACACTTGATGCACAAACAATAATGATGGCCGACAACTGTGTAGGGAGTGAGAGAAGTCTAATTGTGTGAGAGAAACAGAAGACCGGCTTCGTTCTCATCCCTACTCCGTGCTGTTTACTGGGTCAGAAGTGACACCTGTAGATATCTGGCGGGGATAACTTATTAAATGACGATTGATCAGTTATCGACCGGAGATGAAAAATGATTAAATTACTAAAATAGCTATTAAAAAATAAGGGTTGATCGTAGAAGGGTGAAAATTTAGGATTGTATGTATTTTTGTACGTTGTATCATAAAAAAATAGTAATTAAAAATTTTGTCTAAAAAATAAAAAAAAAAAATTTAGGGGTGGACTACCCCTAACATTTAGGGGGATGAAAAATAGATGTTGGCCGATTCTCATAGCTACCGAATAAGCACAAAAAATTTCATCAAAATCGGTCAGGTTGTTTCGGAGGAGTATGGGCACGAAAACTGTGACACGAGAATTTTATATATTAGATTACGCATCGTATGAACACCCTACAGATTAGGTATACACACACACACACATACGCGCGCGGCGGCGTGTTGCTGTATCAGCACGCCGCCGCAGGAGTCCACACTGGGAACACTTGGAACGTGTCCACACTTTATTTATTTATACGGAAATTTTGTCACAAATTAAGTACCTATTTTTTTACATAATTAGAATGAGAATCATGTACCAAGTATTCTCCTTAAATATTGATAGTAATTCACCAGTCACCCTGTATATATAAATAAATATTTTGTGTGTGTGTGTGTGTGAGTGAGTGTATGTGTGGTGTTTTATTTTATTTGATGATATAAATCAAATAAATGTCTTAATATTTCCCAAAAAGAAAGAGAAACTGTCCCAAGGATTGGGTTTAAAATATTCCTACATTGATTTGTTGTCATGTGTGAATTTTCCTAATAATTTTCTTTATTTAATTACAATATTTCTCTTATATAACTGAAAACATTTGAGATTTAAGGTATTTATAAAATAGAAGTGGTTATTACTTACTATATATTTACCCTCTTAAGGATTTAAATTGTTGTATTATTATTACTAAGTAATTTTAGTCAACACATCCTAACCCCTAAAGATGATAAATGTTTTTGTAAGAATGTAACAGGAACTTCATTCATATTAATTAATTTAAGAATTGAGATCTACTTAACTTGCATGAGTATTCATTTAAATCAAACTAATATTTTTCGGTTTATACTTCGCGTACTTTGTTGTTGAAAAAAAAACCTACATACTTGCTGATAAGTAACTGAAACTTCTGGAGCATGTAGTTTTTTAAGAATTATTATTAGCTAACCTGTAATGAAAATTTAGGTTCTTATTTTAAATTGAGACGGCAAAGGATAACTTTATCTTGTTTATTTGGACATTTTGAGCCAACAGTCTTAATTTAATTACAGGAAGAGATATCCCAATACATATAAATTTATTGAAGTGATGTAGTAATATATATGTATAATATTTTTAGTAATGGAACCAATTCCGAATGGCATCGGTGCACGTGTGGATCTTCGTGATGTGAAGGTGATTGAACGTATCGGTGGAACCGTGGAAGACACTGAACTAGTCCAAGGACTGGTCATTCCTCATAGAGCCTCCAACGTGAATGGACCTCACCGCATTGAGAAGGCTAAAGTGGGACTCATACAATTCTGCATCTCACCACCAAAAACTGATGTGTGTTTAATTTATTTTCATACTTGTAGTATATATGTAGTAGTTTAATTTATTTTCATACTTGTAGTAGCGAAAAAGGCCGGCGGTGTTTTTTTTTGGACTTAAGTCCCGTTCTCTGGTTTTAAAATTGAAATTAGTTTCTCAATCTAAATTTCTTTGTTCCACCAAATTCACCCCAGATAGTTATCTTATGCAATATAAGCTTAGTTATGCTATCAAACAAAAATTCCCTGACTTCGTCGGGTATTTCATGTCGAGACTATCTTCATGAATGATTTGTGTCGCCAGTGTAGGTTCTACACCCATAGTTCAAAAAGAAAATTATTCATATACATTAATTTGTATGCATCTAATCTATTATGGCAAGGGTGCTACTTAGATTGAGTACATTATATGTATATTAATGTGTTTGCTACTTTAACAGATGGACCACAATGTTATTGTATCCGACTATGCTGCTATGGATCGCGTGTTGAAGGAAGAACGCCAGTACATCTTGAATATTGTGAAGCAGATCAAAAAAGCTGGCTGCAATGTGTTGTTGGTTCAGAAATCAATTTTAAGGTAAATAATCTATTACATATACAGTATTAACTTAATCATACTAACTATTTAAGATTTTTATTGTCTGAATTATTTATATATCTTCAAAGTAACTTATTTCAATATGTATATAGATCAAAAAACAAAATAAAAACTTATTCTAGAGCTTTACTATACTCCTGTGTACATAAAATAATATATTTGCAGAGATGCTCTCAGCGACCTGGCCATTCATTTCTTGGACAAAATCAAAACTATGGTTATCAAGGACATTGAGCGTGAAGACATTGAGTTTGTGTGCAAAACTCTTGGATGTCGTCCCATTGCTTCTCTAGATCATTTCACCGCAGAAAACCTTGTCAATGTAGACCTTGTAGAGGAAGTGAATGAGCCATCTGGGAAGTACATCAAGGTATAAAAATAATTTATGTGTTATTATGTAATAGGTGTATAAGTAACTGTTTGTTTCACAGTTTACTTGTAATCACTAAATCTTATAAATAATTATAGCATTTTATTAAATTTGTGTGTTATTTAGTATCTTATGAATGTTTCTTGATATCTTGATAGAAATTTTTATAGCACAATTTTACATTGTATTCTTAACATTACTTTTTTTTCATATAGATGACAGGCTGCGCTGGTGGTGGCAAGACGGTCTCGGTTCTAGTTCGCGGTACATCATCCGCCGTGGTTGCGGAGGCGGCTCGTTCGTTGCATGATGCTTTGTGTGCTGTCCGCTGTGTCGCCCGCCGTCCAGCCTTATTGCCAGGGGGTGGAGCTCCCGAGGCCGCAGCGGCCGCTGCTCTGGCCAGAGCCGCCATCGCAGCCCCCGGGGCTGATCACTACTGCCTCAGAGCGTACTCGGATGCCCTCGAAGTCATACCATCCACACTCGCAGAAAATGCAGGTATGCTGAAACACAATCATATATAAAATATAGGAAATTGCCATCATATTGATATTTATAGTACATATTAATACATATAAACTTCATAATATGAAACAAATTGTTGCTATATTATGTACCAGTAACTTTATTTTTAAACCAAGATTATACACAGCGTTCAACACTGTTTATGTACGTACGTGTATTGTAAGAAATTATTGGATAAGTGATAAAATTCACACGCCTTTGACACAACTAAAAGACACCCACCATTGGTGGTGGTTAAACTTTTGATTGTGATTTTCATAAACAATAATGTTTTTACAAAGTATACGTCAAATTGCGAGAGTATTATGATATAACGTACTATTAAAAAGTATTAATATATTCGTCAGGTCTGAATCCCATCGAGACGGTGACTGAGCTTCGTGCAGCCCACGCGTCCGCCTCGTGCGCCGGCTCCGGCGTGAATGTCCGCCGCGGCAGAGTTACAGATATGAGGCACGAGAACGTCTTACAACCTCTTCATGTGACGGCGTCCGCTTTAGGACTAGCCACTGAGACTGTGCGGGCTATACTCAAGATTGACGATATTGTGAGTTATAATCTTACATGTTCCATAGAATTAGCTAGTATAGTCACAGGACATTGGCCTGGCCTGGGCAATTACCAATGTGATTTTTCCGAGTCATATGTACTTTCTAAGAGTATTTAGACATCACTGATTAATGCTGATTCCCAAAGAGGGTTGATGTTAGGCAGGCGGCCAGTCGTAAAAACAATTAGACAAAACTATTTACAACATGTGAGGCAGACTCTGGCTATAGCTGGGAAATTGCCAGGTAGAATAATAAGTCAGATAACATTGGCAAAATATATAAGGAAACGCTTCTAAGAGAGAGATTTTAGGTTAACGGTCCCGCAGAATGCGGGACGGTTGGCCGCCTTATGCTTAGTTATTATCAACAGTCAGTATTATGATAGTGAATACTGGCAGTTTGGGTGTTTATATTATTACTAGCTGTACATGTAGCATTTGACACCCTTGAGTTAGTTTTATCAAACATACTCATTTTACATGGTTATCTTCTTGGTACTTGTACTCTAATACTGAAAAAATGTTCACACTTAACACAAATTCAGGTTTCTATGTATATGTACTTCTAAATTAGTACTGCTGGTTGTGTATTATATACAATAATGGAGATTTGGTAGCAGTTAACTTCTTCAGTCCAAAATGGAAAAAACTTTGTACTAATAGATTTGTGTTATAAAGTTATGCTTGTTTATAATCTTAATTGTAATTGTTTAAACTTTTTAGTTTATGTAAAGTTATATTGAATGTTTAAAAAAATATTCTGAGATACAATTTTACTTTACTTATTGTAAATAAATAAATTATAATCTTTTTAAGATTAATAATTTTACCTTTAATAAAAGAAAAATTCCATTTTGGATTCAGATAGTTGACTGTATATATGGTTTATAATTTAACTAGCTTTTGCCGCGACTCCGTCCGCGTGGAGTAGTGACTTCCGGCAGATTTTTGGTTCTTCCCACATAGTTCCCGTTCTTGCGGGGTTTTCGGAATGGTCGAGTTCCCCTAGAGTTTTCAGGATGATACCTGTTTTTTTTTATTCACAATGAAGTAGGTACTCTTAACCAACAACATATTTATTTGTTTATTTGAAAGATTTTATAAAATTATTTCGACCAAATTAGGTACATAAAAACGGTTTTTGTGAGTTAATCTTAAAAGATAGACATATACTGTCGCGGACTGTTTTTTAGACCATTAAAAGAGCTTTTATTCTTTAATACATATTTTTTGTGTATCTTGAACCGTTTTCATGGCGCACGCAACGGAAGGCTTCAAAGATGAAGTACTTTCTCCCGTTTTTTACACATTTACCACTATATCTTTGCTCCTATTGGTCGTAGCGTGATGTTATATAGCCCACAGCCTTCCTCGATAACTGGACTATCCAACACAAAAAGAATTATTCAATTCGAAGCAGTAGTTTCGGAGATTAGCGCTTTCAAACAAACAAACAAACAAACAAACAAACTCTTCAGCTTTATAATATTAGTATAGATTAGATTAATATTGCTACTTCTTGTACTTAGCTAGGTTCATATTTAACTAACTATATCATTTCATAAAATTATGAAGAAATATATTTTAATTACTAAATTGAAAATCTTTGTTACAGGTCAACACAATCAACTAAAGACTTCAGAATTAATGTGAAAAACATATTTCAAGTATTAATTCCTCCTCTTATTTAACATTGAGTGTTAATATCTATTTTAAAGTAATTGCATTGCACAAGTTTTGTTTTATGTATTATTTCCTGTATCTTCCTACCAAGGTCATTTTAAGTTTGAGTTACTCAACAAGATTATTATACCTGAATATATCTGCGACATGTTCTCAATTGCTGAAATGATATTTCACACATTCTTGTCTTATTCACTTAAAGCTTTATTAGTAACCACTTGCTAGATTTTATTTAACTTTAAACTCGGTGATACCGTCACAATTGTATTGTGCTGTCATTGTTTTACTAGGACATGTATCAAAACTAATTTAGTAATTAATAAAAATACTGAATGAAAATAAATGTTTTATTTGTACTGCATTTAAACTATCGTTGGTATGGATGTATTTGGTTGGCTGCTTTGATATTAGTTTTAATGGCCGATGGAGCTTTTGGCATAGTAGGTTGCGCAGGACCCATCTGTGGCGTTGGCCCACGGGCTGGCCCCATGCCCGGTGGAACTCCTTGAGGTACCATCGGAGGCATACCGGGTCGTAATCCTTTACCAGTACCAACAGCCGTTACAAGTGCATGTGTGTCAGCAATACTATGTGTTGGTTGCATTCCTTGAAGACAAAAATCAACATTAAATTGTACAATTATTTTAGTATATATAACATTAAATAAACAGTTTGTCGTCTAGAAATAATCTTACCCGCAGATCTCATAGATTCACCTTCCCAATCTTCTCGACCCTTTGAAATTATCTCCCACACATGACTAACAACCTTGGTAAACTGAGCTACTTGCTTCTGTTGAATAAAATGTACATAATGTACTTATTAATACAGCAGACGACATGATGTAATGCAAAATACGATATCTATCATAGACATATTGTCGTCATATGTATATAAACTACATACCTGTGCAGCATCATAGCTAAGAGTGTTGGCTTTGTGATTTAACTGCTGAAGACGTTGTTCGGCTTGTGGTTCAGGCTTCGTTCTTAACAAATCCGGCACTAGATCGTGAGTACAAGCCGGTACTCGGCCCTCAGTAAGCCGAGCTAGTTCTTCATCCCTCTCACAACCTAATTGCAACGGTAGGACAACGACAGAACGCAATGAAGGCGCCAATTCAGCTTGAAGTATTTTACTTAAACCTGTTAACTGAATAATAAAATATTAAAACTGATCTTAAAATTTCTCATGTTTTATTTGTAAAAGTGACTTACATGGCCTGATAAAATAGCATAATTATCCAAGAATGTTGGCCAGTTAATTGTTTCATATTCTGTTTCTAATTTCGTTATTAGTGCTTGGATAGCGGTTTTTAAATCGTTCACTCGGTTTAATATTGCATGTAAGGTAGCTTCAAGTTGTTTCTCTTCGCGTTGCATATTAAAATAAATAAATATTATATCTTATCACAATACACTTTTTGAGTATTTATCACAAGAAATATATAATTTAAATAATAAGACAATAGTATTATTCACTAAGCAAAAATCTAAGGAACTGGGAAAACTACCAAATGATGTTTAAGATTTAACATACATATACAGAATGTCATAGGAGATTAATATTTACATGATTGTCAAATGTCAATTACATAGGACAATTCACTAAAACAGATTACTTTAAGAATTCGAAACTTTATTTACACTTTGGGAACAAAGGTTATTATAATTATCACTGTAAGCTTCGCAAATAGACAATAATAGTTTAGTTCTAAATATGATAACATCAATATTTCTGAATAATAGCACTGTAAATGTTTAACATGATATGATTAAAAATCTAATTTACAATTGTTTAGGAAGGTCATGAAAGTTATATTATGTAAGCATTGTTGTAGTTGATGATATTAATATATATAAATATTTTTTCTCTCAATTAGATTAATAAAGTTTCGAAATAACAATTCCATAAACATCTTTCAAGTGTCACATTCATGTCATAACAACGTGTGACACTATAATTGAAGTTTTCTTCACGTGTAAAAACATAATTGTATTTTTTTTGAAAATTGAATTAAAACGTATATATAAAAGCATTTCCTACTATCCATTTTAACATGGTGAGTACCATAAGTATTTATGAAATGTATTAGAATTATTTTTTATTCTAACCAAAACTAAAATTCTTCCCAATAATTTTTTTCTACAGGGTAAACAAAAAAAGACTAGAAAAATCGTAGAAAAAAGGTTTGCTAAAATGAAGAAGATTATAAACCCAAATGATAATAGGATAAAAGCTAGTGATCGAGCTGATCCTAAGAAAAAGAAGAAACCAAATCCAAATGAAATCAAAATTCGTGAAGTGCCGCAAACCAGTTCTGCTCTGTTCTTTCAATATAATACCCAATTAGGACCACCGTATCACATACTAATTGATACAAATTTTATAAATTTTTCTATTAAAAACAAGCTAGACATAGTTCAAAATATGATGGACTGTCTCTATGCTAAGTGTATTCCGTATGTGACTGACTGTGTTTTGGGAGAGTTGGAAAAACTTGGAAGGAAATATAGGGTCGCGTTACGAATTATAAAAGATCCTAGATTTGAAAGACTGGCTTGTATGCACAAGGGCACATATGCTGATGATTGTTTAGTGCAACGAGTTACGCAACATAAATGTTACATTGTGGCTACAAATGACAAAGATTTAAAGCGTAGGATAAGAAAAATTCCCGGAGTGCCTATTATGTATGTTGCCGACCACAAGTTCACCATAGAGAGAATGCCTGATGCTTACGGTGCACCAAAAGGTGCAATTTAGTATAGAATAAGTAGATAAGAAATAAACATATGCCTTTTATGTATGTCTTTTAATCATTTTATCTTTTTACAGACAATAATTGTACATTTTTGAACACCCTACTGATACATTGAGTACTTTATTAACTTATTTTTATTTACTAAATAATATTCTATTATTTAAATGTAAAACAGTTTTGAAAGTCTATGTTTTTCTGAACAGAACCACATATTGAAGTTTGTGTAAATACTATATAGTAGTGTTCAGAGCACTCGGCGATCCAACCACATCAATAATCTCTCCGAGGGGTTTTATTTCTGCATCTACATTAGTGTTACAAATTGATGCTGGTATTGTTAACGTCTGGAAGTAAAAAAAATTTATTAGATATCAAAAGCAAAATAATTTTTTAGAAACAACTGTCATGAAATATTTTCTGGCCTTGATCAAATACAAGTAAGTGAAGCTAATATTTTTCGGATTATACTACGCGACTTTAAGGTATGTAGAATAATAAAATGCGATGTTTTTGTAAAAAAACTACATACTCCTCACGTTTCGGCCACTTTTCAACAACCGTTATCACGGGCAGACGAGATGTGAATGTCTCAAAAAATCCGAAAAATATTAGTTTCATTTAAATTAATAAAACTCGCAAAAATCTTAGATCTCATTCAGTACAAGTAATATTTTAATCATTTAGAATATGTACATGGATCACTATGTAATTTTTATTACATCTTCATTATACTGTAAACTAAGTTAATAAACTAACCTTTCCAGGGTTCAGAGCTTCATATTGGTGTCTTAAAGCTTGCAATTCAAACTCACAAGATGCCAATGCATTTTTCAGATCTAATGCCAAAGCTAGATCAGAACGTAATTCATTAAAATGTTTACAAATTGCTTCAGTCGGTGTTGGTGCAATATCTAAAAACAAAATAATATTTTTGTGTATAAATTACATCAAGTTTTTATTAAAATTTTCTTATTATTGTTATATTTACCAATATTCAAAAGTCTTAGTTCCTGCTCAATGGCTTTAGTTTTCCGCTGTCCTACACCAGGTGGCAGTTTCATACGTTGAGATCTCAACCAAACACCAGCACCCCGAGCTTCAGGGAACTTTATACCTGACCATTCCACTGTCTATGGACAAATATAAGCAGTAACATTTAAATGTTAATGTATTTTTTTAATATACTCAAAGAACACTAAACAACATCAAATATGTTTTTGATATAGACTTAATTAATATCCAGTAAATTATGTAATGATTCAGGTTGTACTGCTTTTGGATTTGAATAAATTTCTTTAATTTACTATTTTACGATAAACTTTACTAAATGCTTGATTTGAAATTGAAATATAAATTTATGTTTTGCTTTATCTAATTATTTAACAATAAAACTAATATTTTCAGATGTACTACACATTTTTCATAATTTTAAACTGTATACTCCCGACGTTTCGTTATACCATTGTATAACACGTAGTACATTAGAAAATATTTGTTTTATTAAATTCATATTTATAAGTCTTATATCATTAGTTATTTAAACTTGATAACCGAGCTTTGCTTGGTACTTTTTCAGGATAACCATGTTGAAAAATATCACTAACTTCCTGTAGCCTAATCCATTAATGGTCAAGAATATTATAATTCTTCGTCTTCTACCTAGCAATTTCCCAGCTTTAGTCAGGGTCTGCCTAACATGTTGAGAATAGTTTTGGCTAATTGTTTTTACGATCGGCCGCCTGCCTGACATCAACCCTCTTTGGGAATGCATTAATCAGTGATGTCTAAATACTCTTAGAAAGTACATATGATTCGGAAAAATCACATTGGTACTTGCCAGGATCGAACCTGCGCTCTCATGCATTAGAGGCAGGCCTTTTAACCACTAGGCCACCACTGACTTAGGTCAAGAATATGTATTATAATTATTTATTGTAATTCTTACCACAGCCTCAACTGTTCGAACTGGTCGTTGTTGTGCTGTTAATTTTTTCTTATGTAATTTTCTGTCATGTCGTCTAGCTATTGTGGATGTTGAGCCAGTTGGAGTGTTGGCACCTTCATTCACTATACTTGTTTGGTTGTTAACAATACCATTTCCACTGTCAGCTCTTGATATAAGTTTCTGTAAATCTTGAGTCTTCCTTTCTCTTTCACGTTTCCTTGCTTCAATCTTTTTCAGTTCCGCTAATAACATTTGTTCTTCATCAATCTGTAAATTGTAAATTTTAGTAGAAATATATATAAGAGAAATAAATTGTTCTTATTATATCTATACTAATATTATAAAGCTGAAGAGTTTGTTTGTTTGTATGTTTGAAAGCGCTAATCTCCGAAACTACTGGTTCGAATTGAATAATTATTTTTGTGTTGGATAATCCAGTTATCGAGGAAGGCTGTGGGCTATATAACATCACGATACGACCAATAGGAGCAAAGATATAGTGGTAAATGTGTAAAAAACGGGAGAAATTATTTCATCTTTGAAGCCTTCCGTTGCGTGCGCCGTGAAAACAGTTCAATATACACAAAAAATATGTATTAAAGAATAGTAGCTCTTTTAATGATCTAAAAAACAGTCCGCGACAGTATATGTCTATCTTTCAAGATTAACTCACAAAAACCGTTTTTATGGTACCTAATTTGGTCGAAATAATTTGTTTAAGTTGTATCAACATAATAATATTAATCTTTATTCAAATAAACAAATAAATATGTTGTTGGTTAAGAGTATGTACTTCATTGTGAATAAAAAAAAAAACATAGGTTTTATCCTGAAAATTCTACGGGAACTCTACCATTCCGAAAACTCCACAAGAACGGGAACTATGTGGGAAGAATCTGCCGGAAGTCACTATTCCACGCAGACGAAGTCGCGGCAAAAGCTAGTTATGTATATAGTTAGGTACTCCTTGGACACGAAACAAAATAGAAGCAGTGCGCAAAAGAAACATTGACACTTTCTGGTAGTCCGTCGTCGAGGCGACGTCGCTCAAGGATTTTGAGTGTTAATATTGTGTTAGCAATTAGTTTAAAGCTATTTTAAGGATATTACTCTGTAAGTACTTTATTTGTTATTTAACTGGTGTTAGCAGTTCATCATTTTATTCCTTAATTCACCTTTTATATTCGTTCATTTTAATTAATATCACATAGTCCAATTGTCAAATTTTTATTATATTTTTAAAAATTTGAACGAAGTTCCTTAATATATATATAATACCTGTTCTTGAGTCCTATCAAAGAGTCTCTTCAATTGTTCCTTCCTTTTCCTTTCATGCTCAGCATCATAATGGTAAACTCGTTTTTCACCATTGACCATTGTTACAGAATTCGACCAAGGATTAGTTTTTACCTGGGACATATTATAAAAATTTTTTGTATAAAACAAAGATTAATACTATATTCACTTTGCAAATATGTGAATTTAATAACCTTACCTTACTTAAAATAGCACAAATATTATAATATCGTTCTTTCAAGTCCTCAACACTTCTGTCTCTGAAGGCAGCTCGGTCCCATCTATCATGTATCACAATGAACCGTAAATCAAACCTTTGACACAGATCCATCAAGTGGTCCGTCTCTGCCTGACTCCAATCTTCAGATTTCAAAAACTGATTGTATTCCGATTCTGAGTAGGACGGGATTGAAACTTGCTGAAGTACAATAGAAGTTATATTAGTTCTCTATTCCTGATACTTAAACCAAACATAATTGTGTCAAATCTGTAATAAAGTCACCTTATTAAATTGTGCAAATGGATACTCCTTTGCCTCATCAGACGCTCGCTTCCAATGGTGAAACACAGCATTATCTTTTCGTGCTGGGTTAGTGAATGGCGCCCAAACCCATTTCCTCACTTTTCGCATACCAAGTTTCGCTTTAGTTTGTTTATACGCTTTACCTGGAAATGCAATCTAGATAAATATTTTTTTTATAGAAAACCATCTTGTATCGTGATTTAACAACATTATTTATGCTAATAGATAATAGATATAAAGGATTAATTGTTTTACCTGTGTCAGTAGGTAAAAGAGGAGGCAGATCCTTGTTATCATTGTATAGTAGAGCAAATACTTCGCGGTGCATTCCCTCCGGGCGACGCACTGTCTTGGCGGTAACATATTTTTTCTTTGCTTTGTCTCCATGAATGATACTGTCTCTTGTTATTTCTGAAGCTCCAGGTTGTTCAATATCTAATATATCCAAAATATCTGCCATTTTAGATAAATTTTGTTATTCCAGTTGTCCGTGCAGTGTTTATACTTTTCAATGTGAGCTGTCGTCAGTTTTTTCACTTTATGTTAGAATACAATTTTTTTATTGGAATCATGGAAAATTTTAATTGTTCTAATCTGAAATAGATTATTTAAGTTTCACTTGTTTAAAATGTCTTCTTTTTTATTATGGCTTTACCATTTTGGTGCATCCATATAAGTCAGTTTTAACAGACGACACCAAATGAAATTTTTTCTTTGTACATGTTTTTACGGGTCTGGATGCTAGTTTTTTGAGCCTTTACAGCAAAAGACCATATTTTCAGTGTTGCCAACTATTATAAATTCGAGTGGACTAAACTCATCTTCAAAAGTCACCAGTAAATCTAGATCTGATTTCATCTGGGGCGGATTCAGAATACTGTTCTGCGACGCAGAACAAGCTATTCCCAGTGATTAAAATAACTATCAGTCTTTTTTTAAATGTCATCAATGTCATAGTCAAAGTTTTTGTTGTAAGAGAATTACTTTTGTTTTAAGGATATTTTGGAATAATTCGTACAATACATAAAACAGGTAATCTTTATTTCCTTTTCTCAACTGATCTCTTAACAGTCTCTTACCCGTAGTCAGACATTTTATCGATTTTTTAATTTCTATAATATTAGTAAAATTGAATATACTTTTTTTCATAAAGTTGTGTTAATAGTCTTATTTTATTTTTTATTTATATCTATACTAAATACATAGTTTTAAAATAATTATCAATTAACAAAATCCCCAAGGATATTTGTGCTTCGGCCTCCAGACTAGACATATTTATGTATTCGTGAATTTTTAGAGTGCGTTACCCAAGGCTTCCTAAATTTACTTTGTATACTGCTCTCTAGTATTTCTATAATAACAAATAAAAATGTATTTAAAGACTATTACTATGTAATATAAGAAATACTATTTATTTATATGTCTTTATCAAATTATCAAGTATTTTTACATTTTCGAAAACCTTAAACTAGTTTTATGAGATGGTAAATTCTAACTGTGGTCAGGTACTACAGCTCGGACATGGGCTGGCTCGACAGGAAAAGTACCACTCACAGAAGATCGGCATGAAGTAGTTATAGCTTCGTTCAATGAATAATATAGTTGTTCTTTCCTTTTTCCCACGCTTTCCTACCCAGGATTTTGATGTGTACAATTACGTTCTGTCTTGCATCAACCTAATTCTGTTTTGAGGTGTTTCATTTCCATTGGATCCAGGGGACTCTGCAATTTTGTGTCGGATCGGGACCCTTCTGTATCCCGTACCACCACACACAAAATACAACTTTCAATTCAGACCAAGGCTAATGCTCTTTGACAGAATAGTTATTGGATCATCAGTATCGTTTCATCTTTCCCTTAAGCAGAAGGCTGACAATGAAACCACAACGCCATGTTCAGATGTCTACGGGCGACGGTGACTATCTCATCAAGTAGGCCGTCTGCCCGCTTGCCGTTTTTAACGTAAAAAAGGTTCATCTATGCAAATATATAAAAAAAATATTAACTGTTGCTAATTTGGGAGCAACAGCAGTTTTTACTATTTATTTATTAATCTTTTTATTATGCTACGTAAGAAACGTTTTCTTTTGATAATTTTTTACTCGATTTACGATGAAAACTTGCGATATCTCTTGATAATGACAAAATATTTTTATTATGTAGGGTAATCAATATTTCTTTATTTAATACGTTGGTGTGACCATTCTATTGCAATCGATTGTTTTTTTGTCGAATTGGTGTTGTATAATTTGTTTAAATATAAGATTAAGTGCGAAAGATAAGGAAGATATACGAGTATATACTAAGTTTGTTCAGGCTTCACACAAAGTGTTTATTAACAACAATATTTAAATTAATTATTAGAAACAGTAACAATATCTAATGAATAATTTTGACCAAAATTGAAAAACAGTTTCCGTTCGAATTCTTTAATAATTCATTCATGTATCTTAAAGAATTTTAAAACTCTGCCGGCATATTGAGATATTTTAAATATTAGGGTTATGTATCGAAGAAACTCAATAAATTTGGTTTATTTAGTTATTTTTTACCGATTAACCATAGATAAACGGAGTATCAAGTTTTTTTGAACGCTATAATGTCAAATGAAAAAATATTGACTATTAAATTATTATACCAAATTTTGCTTCTAAAATTATAAATAAATGTACGCTTGAAAATATGCTCGATAATAATGACAGGAAAATGAATTAAATTGAAATTGTGTTGCTGTAGTCATCGACTCAATGGTTATTGAAATGCAGAATATTTTAAAATCCTACATATCAAATATTAAATGAAATAACATGACTTTTTTCTTCACATATGATTCGTCTTAACTTATTAAGAAGTAACTATTAGAAATAGCGTTCAGAAATATCATAAACATACGTTTTGGAGTAAAAGTTACATAAAATCTTTTTTATCACCTTCCTCGGCGCCTACTTATCATTTATCACTATCTCGCACCATATACTTACGAAGGGAGAATCTGGACAGTTGATTGCAAGAAAACTAGCATTAAAAATCTTTTATGTACACGTAAAGTGGTTATCATTTAGTGTAGAAAACCATTAAAATAATGTTTTTGAAATATGATTTAACGATATAATTCTGATAGCAATATTTATATGAATATTATAATATCAATTGCATATATAAATCTTAAGAGTAAAATACAATTAATATAATAATGTGCATTGATCAGTTGAATAAGTAATTAAGTCATTGTTTCTATATTAATTATTAAATCACGGGCTGTCAACTAGATACATTACAAAATCATTGCCATTTTTTTAAATAACTGTTATTGTTATGGGTAATACATGTTGAAAAATGTATTTTATTTATTTTAAACTGGTTGAAGAGATTTCAAATTTCTGTAATAGTTATTTGTCTAATGCATAACTAATGAGTATACAACATTGGACATTTGGAAATTCTGTCACGACATTTTTTATTTAGATTTAATACTTCCCTTTTATCCGAAATTATTTGAAACTTTTATATCTGATCCGTTTGCGGTTACGTATAGAACTTTATTTCGGATATGCGATAGTTTTGGTAACAATTACAGAACTTTCTAACATCCCTAATGTCAACCATTAAGTTGCGCATAATGAGGCCATTACAATGTGGATAGCCGTTAATATTTCAAGTGGTGCTTTATAAATACTCGATTGAAATAAGAAAAAACGAAATGTCAGTTTTATAGCTGAGTAAAATTTCTACAATTCATTGAAATAGTAGAATACGAATAGTTAAAAATAACATTTGATGAAAATTGCTTTATTTTTTTTTTCGGTTTTTAATATATTGCATAATGGTACGAGAGCTAGCAACGTCAAAAAAACAAGCATTTCAGGTAGGCTAGTTTTTAGATATGCTATCTCTCTCACTCCCCTGGACGTCCTACGGGCTATCTGGCTGCCGGTAGTGGTTGCGTTCATCAGTGCGCATCGTACTTGTGGAGGTAAAAAATTAATATATCAAATCATTTTAAGAAGGTTTTTATTATTATCATTATTATTATTGAACTATTCACAACATAAAATTATTATTGCCAGATATTTTTATTGTTGTTTAAACGGTGCCAAACGGCAATGTTGAATTAAGAAAAAAAAATTTATCAAAATATTTTAGTATAGCTGAAATTTTAATAGCATGTTATTTAACTATCTAAAAGCTCAGAATTAATTTGCCAGGCAAAAAATCGGTTGTTAAACTTTTGCCAGATCGAAATAAAGTGTAAAGAGATGTAGTATCATTTAGCTTGGTCTAGAAAATTAATCGTCTAATAAATGATAGAAGATGGATTAACAACTATTGAATTTATTTATAGATGAATACGGTATAAAAATAATACTTTATTGTAATGATCAATGTTAAGTTTGAAAAAGATCATCATCTTCATCACTGCTGTCATTTCCATTGTCATCATCGTCCATAAAATTATTATCATTTTGTAATAAGCTGTTATCTGTAATAGAATCAAAAATTTTAATATCTTTCGAGAAATATTTTTTTTTGTATTTTAGTTCAAATTTTTACCTTTAATAATAATATCGGCAACTAATGTTGGTAATTGCTCCCCAACAAACCAGATAAAATCATATTTATCATCATTAATGGTTCAGCCAGAAGCTTGAGGTGATAGAGATGTTGGGTATTTTAAATAAGCATTTCTCCAAAACGTTGTGACATAACGAACTCGTAGTAAGTATTGATATAACTCAGCTTTACTCGATGGTAGAATTGATGGATCAAAATTACGGAACTTTTTTTCAAAATTATACGATAGGGTTTTAGAAATCATACGTGAAGCGGTTAGTCTTTCGGTAGCCAGAGCGCTTTTTAAACTTAACATTGATCATTATCTCAATTTTGTACAACAATAAAGTATTATTTTTATACCGTATTCATCTATAAATAAATTCAATAGTTGTTAATCCATCTTCTATCATTTATTAGACGATTAATTTTCTAGACCAAGCTAAATGATACTACATCTCTTTACACTTTATTTCGATCTGGCAAAAGTTTAACAACCGATTTTTTGCCTGGCAAATTAATTCTGAGCTTTTAGATAGTTAAATAACATGCTATTAAAATTTCAGCTATACTAAAATATTTTGATAAATTTTTTTTTCTTAATTCAACATTGCCGTTTGGCACCGTTTAAACAACAATAAAAATATCTGGCAATAATAATTTTATGTTGTGAATAGTTCAATAATAATAATGATAATAATAAAAACCTTCTTAAAATGATTTGATATATTAATTTTTTACCTCCACAAGTACGATGCGCACTGATGAACGCAACCACTACCGGCAGCCAGATAGCCCGTAGGACGTCCAGGGGAGTGAGAGAGATAGCATATCTAAAAACTAGCCTACCTGAAATGCGTGTTCAAAAACGTTGCTAGCTCTTAGAATATAATATATCCAATTCGCTTTTGATTTGGAAAGATTAGATTTTTTTGTTAATGTTTTTACGGCTCTGGATACGAGTTCTTTTCAGCCTTGTTGTTACAAATAAAATTTTTCTTCATACACCCATACATTACCATATTTAGAATTAATAAAATGAATTTAGAATAGTTATCAAAGTTAGTTAGGTTAGACAAAAAGTTATAATACATTTCTATGACTTTAAAATATATTTGAAGGTAAATGAAAATAAAACCAATAAAAGTTTAAACTGAATAATATATTTATAGTTGCCATCATTTAAAAGTAAAAGATTCACGACGTTGCATATTGCAAAAGTGACTTAAAAGCAACAGGATTTTCCAGTGGAACCTGAAAAAGTATTTATATGTTAAGAATTAAAATATTAAATATAAATGTTATTAAATTTATGACAGTAAAAAATACATGTACAATGGTCTTTTTTAAAACAACAGTTATTAATAAATTTTAGGTTAAAATTTTCATTGTATGCCACATACACTCTAAATCTAAAATTGTGAATACGAAAGCTTTTATGTTCGATTCAATTCTTTAACTATCCCTTTCGTACCAAAATGTGAACACTACGTTCCGCCAAAGTCACGTACAATTCAGTAGACACTAAGAAGATTGCTTCGTGCATTTGTGATTTTTTTAATTTTCCGACTGAAGTCCTCACTACCCGAGTAACGAATTTAATATAAAAAATAGAAGCTTTTATATATTATATAATGATACAATATACAGGGTGACTGGTGAATTACTATCGATATTTGAGGACGTGATTTGTGACGACCATATATGACAAAATAAAAATTAATATAACATAAATATTAATAAACTTCTAAGTAAAGTTAACCAAAAGTTATGTAATTAATTACGCATCGTATGAACACCCTACAGATTAGGTATACACATACACTCACACAGACGCGGCGGCGGCGTAGTGTTGTATCAGCACGCCGCCGCACACGTCCACGCTTAGAACACTTGGAACGTGTCAACACTTCATTTATTTATACGGAAATTTTGTCAAAAATTAAGTACCTATTTTTTTTTACATAATTCGAATGAGAATCATGTACCGAGTATCCTCCTTAAATATTGATAGTAATTCACCAGTCACCCTGTATATTGTAATTAAATTTGAAAAATATGACTTAAAAGTAAGTGTATGAGGAATGATGTGGAGTGAGACACCTCAAAGGGTTGAAGAACTTTTGGATACAAAGAGGAAATGGGAAACAGTATCGCCAAGACGTCATATACATATAGTCTGATAACTAATACTCAATTTTCATATCCAGTGGGAGGCATTACATATATGCTTTAATTACCCAGACACAGTTTGAAAAGGAACGCGTCCCGAGAAAGGATAACAAGCTAGCGTGGTCGGCAGCGTTTTGTTGGAAAAATGTGTCTGAGCACCTCACAAAGATATTAATCTTACATAGTCACTTCACTCTATCTACAACTGTCTGAATATGTCCTAGGTACCAGTATTGAGGATAGACCTCATTGCATCTCCAGACTTCAGAATTACGTCATTGTGTATGTATTTAGATGGCGGAAACCTTAAGGTGAGAACTCGAAGAAAATTTTAATAAGACATTTAATAATGAAATTTAACGCTGATATAATATAGTTCCGAATGGTTTTAGAACAGGAAAAGATTAAATAAATATTTAGTGACAAATATATTGATATACATATTAATTAAGCTTTTGAAGTGAATTCAAATAAAATATTTACAAAAATAATTGAACCAGTGAGGACAATATTTGTTATGAATAAAGGGAATAAGAATAATTTTGGTCGATAATCATATAAAATAGACATTACTTTTATTAAAATATATAAGTGATTATTTATGTTATTTTTTCAAATTTGTAATATATTACGATTTTAATTAATTTTAATATCAAATAGATATAATAAGATAATAGAAAAAGCAAGAAGTTTATAATCTTTTTCATTGGTTTTATACCAAAAACGAAATGTTTGTATTATAAACCTAATTAAATAATTATTAATATGAACTAATCTGTCGTTTTTATTGTAGGTATGTTCTTTTTTTATTCTGAAGTATTTATTATTTGACTGCCTTACCATAAGTCCAGCTACGTTTATCCAATAGAATCGTAGTCTATCAGATATTTTAGAGTGACCTTCCAGCAGCCCGTTCAATGCCAACGGCCTCCTTGTCTGATTTAGGAATCCTTCTTGACCTTGCCATTTCAGAGTTCGGATCCACTCCCACTGACCTGATATACAAATTTTGATTAAATTGAACATTGCTACAATTTTGTTTATTTTCGATGTCTTCTAAAATCTCATTTTCAAGCTCCTTTGGGAAATACAAGCCACTCTATTGCAGCTCGCAATCTTTTGAAAAGGGAACAAAAAATATTACGTATTAATTTTATTCTTTAAGCTATGTATAGCAAATTATGATTGTTACTTACATACATTATTAAGCAATGTACCAATACGATATTACGATATTCTTCATTTAGTTTTTATTTTAGTTTAATCATGAGAATGGAATAATAATTAAGGCTGTGGAATAATAACAAAGAATTACCTGGAGTATTAGAAACCGCATCCATATTGCCGTTATAAATAGTTATGTTCACATTTGTTTCATTAAGGATGTGCTCGACTGAAAATTAATAAAAAATATAACTATGCACAACTATATTACCTACATATATAGTTTAAGGTAAATATTGAACATAAAATAGATAACCACATACTTGGGTAATTACGTTAATGCGATGTAAAAACTAAAAATTTTATTTATACTATTATATACATATGTACCTATACGTATAAGCGATTGACAAACAATTTATATAATATGTAAGAAACAACTACATAGTATACCTCCATGAACAATAGGTTTCATGTAAGAGCTCTTAAACGCTTGAATAGCTTTTTCCCGTTGCCCGTCGTATCTTATCTCATTTGAAATACCCAGGGCTGGTCTAACTACAGTTTCCATAAAGACAGAAGCGTTTTGACTTAAAGCAAGTATTCTGTTTACGTAATTGTTTTGTCCGAAGTAATCTTGAATAAATATTAGTAAAGAATTAAATGTAATATACGGATATTGTTAATATTAATGCAGTGATATATTCGTTCCTTACATACCTCTATTTGATTCGCGTCTAAGTTTTTCAACAATATAATTTAAATTGACGCTAACTGCGCCGGCGTTCTCATTAACAAAATTGTCTAGAGATGAAAACTGATCAAACGCCTGTTCAAAAGATTCTGATTGAACGAGCGAGTACGTAAGGTTTGAAAAACTTTCGATTTCTATCCGACCTTTCCCATCGATGTAAGCGAGTTCCTCCAAATAATATCCCAGTTTTGTGAGCGCTAAAGCTGGTGAAATAACTGGATTGCCTAAAATAATTCCTTTTACTTGATCAGACACATTATCCTCCTGAAAACATGTGGGTTATATATATATAAGATTCGTATTATTTAATATATTTTATAAAAAAAGTTACCAACCTTAGCCAACTTTGTAACTAAAGGGATAACTAATTGCGATCCGTCTCCCATACTACATAAGTAAATAGGGGATTCCCTGTACTCATTGTGTACATCGTAAAACGATTGAAGCATACTCCACAAAATGTCAACTAAAATATTATAAGTACCGTAAATTATTTAAATAAATTTGATTTGATTGTATGGAATTTCATAGATTTACCATGTTCATCTAGGCCTGGGAGATCTCTATCTTCTGATTCGGCTGTACTGAAACCGGTCCCAATTGAGCCATCGACAAATAGTAAATTATAATCATTTACCTGTAACATTATATCAAGATGCCATTTTCTTTATTTGTACGACATTCCTGGTTATTAAGACAATTACAATTGAACTTTCAGATTATGACAGCTAATTTAAAATAATTCAAAAACGAAAGGATATGAACATTTTAGTGTTCATTTAAAAACTTTTCAATCGAATTTAATAATTGTATTTAACTAACTAATTGTGAATAACCATTTAACGTAGGTAATCATTTTCATCGCATCACTCGTTTCAAAAATAATTAGAGTAATTATATAGACTCAAAACAATATGAATCCAAAACAGCGAATTGTTAATGCAAGTGCTGATAAATACCTACATATGTGATACCTAGAATAATGCTTTTGGACATAAAACTTCTTCTTTCAGTTATTTATTAATATTAAAAACATGTTCTATACTTTATTTATTTCAGCTACGGACGGAAGGCCGTGAGAAAACCAAAAGTTACTTTTATTGAATTAAATTTTACAGTCTAAACTTAATGTTAAACTTACGATTGAGTGAAATTATAATACTGAAGTTATATTATTGATGAATGATGATAGACTATTTTACACAAATATATAATAAAGTTCGGTTTGAAGAAATGTATTGATTTACAATGGGAAACAATTATGAGAAACAGTAAAATTACAAAGTACGTTTTTTCTATCTTCATCGAGTTATATGTATTTATGTTGACAAACTAAGTACTAACCAGCGAATCATTTCTTTTATTGAGATGCACGTCGTAAGGTCCGAACATGCCGAAATTTGCAAGGAAGCTTGGTGGGAGCCCTGTAACCCCGTGGAACCATAATAATAGAGGTCTTTTAGTTGGAGACTCCGCAAGGGTTGGGTAAAACCACCAGAAGACGTCACCTTTGCCACGCACTCTTGTAAAGGCTGCCGTATAGCTGACATTGCCTATGTTTTCTCCCTTCAATTCTGCCAAAATCAAATGCGTTTTTTATCAGATACTTAGTTTTAAACATATTGTTGGTTAGCTATGGTAAAAGTTAATATAAGCAAAAATTCCTGATATGTAATTTATTAAAATTTACATTGCAAATGATATATAATTTAATGATGATAGGTATTTTTCAACATTAAGTAGTTCTCGTTTTGTGTAAGTAATATAAAGAACATTGTATTATATACATGTATCACAGTCATTATAAAAACTATTTTATTTCAAAATCTTAAAAAGCTAACAATAATAGGACGAAATGATTATTTTTCTTTTTATTGTGGGTTTCCACCTTTTGTGGAACAACTGTTAATTAGTGTCAGTGGCAACTTTAAAACACAAGCTGAACTTATATAATTCCGAGGGAAACATGAATTTACTCATTTTACATTATTATTAATAGAAAACCTCACCTATTGTTTCATAGGGTGGACCATCACGGGAAACTAACCACCAAATCAGAACGCCAAGGCCGGCTAAAGCAACAAGACCTATTGCAACTAAAATAAAAATAGTTACTTTACGCATGGCTCTTAATTGACTACTTACAAATTCACGTCGAACTGTTGACCAAACTTTTTGATAAGATTATTATCTTTTATCAATATTTTTAATATTAATACTTGTAGATAATCTTAATTCAAAATAATTACAAAATATTTTAAGATATTATTACTATCGAAAATAAAATTTCCCAATTACTTTATTTATACTTCCTGCAAATAATTGAAAACTAAATTTACTATATTATATTTAATGTGTAAAGAGTTATTGAGATATACATATTATGTTTTTAATTAAAAAATGAAACAATAATACATTGAGCTGTTTGATTTACTAAAAAAGATTTTTTCAAATTTCTTGTAATTTTTTTCTGTTCTTTTTTTGTACAAATTTACATAAAAATAAATACAAAAAGTAAGGATTGTTGGTGATTATGAGCATTAATTCTGGCTCTGTATAGTAAAGTTAGTTTCGCTTTTCAAAATTATGTGTCTTGAAGCAGGAAAGCAAATATGTAAAATCAATTTATAAGTTTAATATGTTATTGTTGTGTGGCCATGGGATCAGAAACAAAATGCTGAAAAAGCAAAGAGATTCCCTTCACAATAATAGGAAACTGTATTGACATAGTACATTTCATGGTTAAGTACTTATAATTTCTTAGTAACATAAATCAATCATAGATAAAAAAGTTTCTGTACGTGGACAGATATTATCAATGACTTAAGGTTAAAGATAGACCTAATCTAAATTAGTATGCTATGGAATTGCCCATATTTTTTTTTGTCTCAAACAAATTTATTATATGTATATTTGTCTCAAACTGACCGTTGTAATATTCAGAAATCTGGCTCTGAAAACCATGATACGAGTATGTAAGCGTCTCATCAAGTTTCAGTAAAAATAATAATTTTGCCTGTTTTTTGAAGTATAACTTCCAAATCACAACAGGATTTAAAGTTAATACAAAGATTAAGTCAATAACGAACAAACGGTGTTTTTAATTTTGGTACAATATTGTTGCAAGACTTGAAGCTAAATTTATGTAGCGAAAATATTATTATGATTGTAATTAATGTTTCTATGTAACAATTGTGTGACTGTTATAAAATTGATACCAGACGAAGATACTATAATTACAGTTTATTCTAGATTTATAATATGATGTTACATTGTAGAGCAACTGTTATTCATTACCTCGAATAATCACGGTTGGATGCTATTCAGAGAATTATAAGTATACATTCTTAAAGAAGACACTATGTTGATTATCGTCTCTTACAATTTAGTTGTGAATAATATAAATAAATTGACGTCATACTGAAGATCACGGATTAAAGCTTTTAAATATGTTAGAAACGTCACACGGAAATGTTTATATTTTAAAAGCGATGCCTTTTAATAAGTGTAATTGTGTCGAAAAACGATAATTATGGAACAAATTGAAAATTGTGGTTTCTTTGTGTGGAGAGACTCATATCCATTATGTATAGTTTTGCCCAAATGCAAGAACAAGACGAGACTTGGCCAGTCTTGGTCTTGCACCCCCCAGTCTTGGTATTGGTCTTGCACCCCCCAGTCCTGGTATTGTTCTTGCAGCAAGAGTCTTACAAGTCTTGCAATTACATATTAGCCTGTCGCTATTTTTTAACCATTGCTTTAGATATTAGAACAAGTACATTTTGAGCTTGAATTAACATAGCCATGGTAAAGGGTAACCAAATAAATAAATGTCTAAATATTTCATGAGAAATGTAAAAAATCAACTGAGACCGGCTGGGCTTTGAAATCACAACTTAAGCGATCAATGCCAATGGTCTAATTAACCAACTGAGCTATCAGTTGTGTCCCCGCGGAAGTTAGTCTGTTTTTGTTAATAACTGTTTACATTTAATAATCTCCATTGTCTAATAATGGTTTCAACATATAGGAAACAAACAAATAACATTTATTTAACTGTATTTTAGACTAATCGACTGTCTTATACATTTAAATGTATATTTGTAAAAATATATTATGATGCAAAGGTCAATTACAACAATTTATTTATTTAAACAGTTCTCTTATTATCTACGGGCTCCTAAACAATACATAAATCTTATAACAAGCTTTTAATATTATTTGATTACTATTATAGAATATTTAAAGAGTATTAAAATATCTACAATACTTATTAAATAGGTGACTTTGTTTTTTAAAAACACACAGAACTGATCAGCATAATGTATTCGTATCCAGTCTAAGCACAAGAAAACTTATTTAACTCTTTGGAACACTTGTCTTCTGTTGCGGCAATCAAACAGTGTGAAATATTATGCGACTGTGAAATATTATACTTTAGAAAAGTAGCAAACTTTCTATGATAGGTCTATTAACCTTAGTCGGGTCGGATACTCTCGACCTTTGATGATGCTAACAACTCATCGATCACTATCACACACAATGCTTATGGTCAAATCACTCACTATCACACACATTGCCGATGCACACTTTGTTCTTTTAATGGATATTTTAATTCGCTATTTACGTTTGTTTATGGTACCTAGTGTACATAATTCGCATGAGTCCAATTTTCCAAAAATAAAAAACATATTTTTTGAGTCCCATAAAATCCCTAAGCGTTTACCCCATTTCTATACTTATTCCCTCAGTTTTAACTGCAAGACGCAAGATTTTTGTAGGTTTGGTCTTGTCCTTGCAAGACCGATTTTGGGCAACACTAATTATGCAGCCACGAGCCACTTTAATATTTCCATTATTTATAATGATCAATACACTATGATTAAATTAAACATATTTTATTAAATGGCACTTTTTAATGTTAGTATTGATAGATGTTTTAATTAAACAATAAAAAGAAAAAACTTTATTTACATTTTTAACGGATTTAATAATTATGATAGTGTAATTTATTTTAGCCAAATGAAGTCATGTCACGTAGGAAGGCGCTGCTTCCCGCGGGATTGTCTCTCGGGACCTGCAACGTTAGTTATGATTAGATATTGCAATATATTCGTCATCGTCATCAGACTATCAGAGCTCACTGCTGAGCAAAGTCCTCTTTCTCACATGAAGAAGATTTGAGCATTAATCACCACGCTTACTCAAGACGGTTTGGTGATTGCAAACATATAACTGTGAAATTATTAGTCCAGGTTTCCTCACGATGTTTTCCTTCACCGTCTGTCATTGGTATCTAAATGCTCTCAGAAAGTACATATGACTTTGAAAAATCACATTGGTACTTGCCAGGATCGAATCCGCGCACTCGTGCACGAGAGGCGGGCTTTTTAACCACTAGGTTACCTGACTTTAAGGCAATTTATTCATGAATCACATATCCTTTTTTATTTACAATATAGCTGTATCAATCTCAATCTACATATACAAATATAATGAATATATTTCAAATATGTGCAATGTAAGTACATATATCAAACAAAACTATTATGTCTGGATTTCTATACAGGTTCAGAGTTGGATTTCAATAGAAAGCAATATAATAACATTGATATTACTCAATTTTGTTTCGATTATTAGTTTATACGTCTCGTATGATGATGTAATACAATACGTATAATATATACAAAAATATGTATAAAGATATTGAGAACCATTTTAATGTAAATTCTTCTAAGTCCTCTAAGTATGTGAATTTATCTTACACTATGTCCGGCTTTATTTATCCAGAAGAATCGAAAGTTTCCGTAGGATTTGTAATATCCTTCCAATTGATTGTTCACCCAGATTGGATGGCGAGTAGCGTTTTTGTATCCTTCAGCACCATGCCATCGAAGACGATCCACCCATAAGATTTGTCCTAGGCAAATACAATTTAAAGAGGATTTTGCAATTCATCTAACCTATCCCCTTATTATTCAGTACCTAGAACACAAATTGTGTTCTAAGAAAATATTATTAATAATTCGTTGTTGCAGAGAATAATAAAACCAATTTAAAAAAAGTGCAAATATTATTGTATACATATTTGAAAATTACCAAATAAGTTACGTGCTAATTTTAAAAATATGTAGCTTTGAATGATCGGAGACAATATTTTTTGGATTCAGTTAGAACATTTTTTAATATAGCCCTAATAAACTGTACTTACCTGTGGTACTACAAATGAGGTCGAGATTTCCATTGTATTTTGTGATAATAATGTTTGTTTCGTTTAGAAGCTTCTCGACTGTAAATTAAATATTTCATAATATCAACTTCTTTGAAAAAGTCACTAAAAATGATGCTGTTTCCTATTTTGGCTTTTGTGAGTTAACAAAATAATTAATTAATGTCCAGTTAGACTAAAAAATAATATGTACAGAACCAGACGAAAATAGATATTATTTTCCATTAAGAAATTTGTATTAAAACCTTTGATATGTATAAAAATCGAATCACTTAGTTTTTAACATATGTTTTTAATTCATTACTAGCTGACCCAGCAGACTTCGTACTGCTTTAATAGATAAATAAATATCTTTTTATTTATATTTTTAGAGTTTATCTTTAACACATAAATCTCCGTGTTCTGAAGTGCGACAGAATGATTGACATATTAGTTAGTTGTCAAATCTAATGTCAAAAGAAACGTTTGTATGGGAAATAGAAAAGGGCTGTTTTTAGGGTTTTCCAGGAAATGATTCAATATTTTTCAGCTTTTAAACCTTTTCTAAGCCTCCACGAACATTTCACGACTAAAATAAGATAAATTCGTTCAGCCGTTCTCAAGTTTTAGTGAGACTAACGAACAGCAATTAAATTTTATATATGTACATATATAGATTATCGACATAGTTATAAGATTCAATCAAAAAATTCTATGAATTTATGTATGTAGCGAAAATAATTACAAAATAAAGTTTTTATCCTATTTATATTAAGAATATTGGTTTTTATATTATGTATATTTTTTCTGTTCAATTCTTTTTTATTGTGTACTGTGGAATATAGTGTAATATGTAGTACAACATGATCTTTTATATTATACTTACTGCTTTCGGTCACTGGTTTCATAAAATCTGTTCTGAGTGCGTTAAACACTCTGTTTGACGACGCACTCCAGGTGACATTGGTAGGAATTCGAAGAGCTTCCTTCACTCTCGTGTTCATTAAGGTATTAAGAGTATTTCTTGATCTTCTCGATGTTCCATAAAAACCATCTGGTAGTATGAGTTTTTCTATCTCTTTAAGCAAAAAAAAAAATCACCATATTTGTTTGTATTTAAATAGTCGTATTTTTAACAAATTTTATTACCATTATCAAAGGTCTGGGGCACTGGAGTTTTAGTTAATATATTGTAGAAGTCCACGCTAGTCGTTGCTTGGTTAACAGCCCTTTGAGTCGCAGACCATTGGAGACTTGAACTGAAATATGATCCCTCATTGAATAACCGCTCAGCCTCTCGTGCAGTTTTTTGTATTAGTTCATATCCAGCCTCGTCAACCAGACCAGCAGCTAACAGCAGCGGTCCCCAAGTGAGAGTAGAATCTACTGGACTTATCCAAGCGTTGCCCATAGCTATTCCTCTTAAATTCGATCTTATTGTTCCAGCAATTTCAGCCTAGGAAAATAATTGCAAATACATATATACGTATGAACTAAATAAAAAAAAAATCATATATAAAAGCCATATCCAAAATTGATATTAAATTAAGATAAAACTTAAGATGTTTCGCATACATGTTGTCGAATTTTATGTGTTGTAAGTGTTGAAGATAGATTTGATTTAAGAGTTAAAAAAAGTAAATCTCTAACACATATTTTACCAATATCTTGCAAGGAAGTTTATATGTAAATTAAAAAAAATATTACAACAATATATAAAAGTAATGTTTTGAACCATTACAAGAATATGTAGGTTCCTATATGTATGTTATTCATATATATTTTCGTGAAGGGTCACGTGCTTTGTATAAATTTAGTTAGTCGGTATAATGTATAAGCTACATACAGATACCACCCAAATATTTTAATCTATCATTTATAATAATATTGGAGTTTCTGTTTGTAATATTGACATAACTTCTTTTTACTACATGCTTATGGATATATTTACAGCACATAATCCAAAATAATATTTTTAAAATTTTTGTCTGTCTATCTGTTTGCTCTGAATAATATCTGAAATGGCTGGATTGATTTTGACGATACTTTTATCAGCATATAGTCGTTATTCTGGCCGCATAGGAAACGAGGCGCATGCGGTGCTTAAAATATTTTTTTATGCAGACAAAGTCGAGAATAACAGTTAGTTTATATATACGTATATGTAATTTGATTATTCATGTGATTCGTACCTCGCGCATTCGGACACCCATGTCAATCGCCATCTTTCCGCCGTATGATTGTCCGTAAATATAAAGTGGCACTTCTTCGAACTCAGGATTAGATCGATAAAACCCTTTCATCAATTCGACAAAGTCGAGGGCTGTAATGTTAATGGGAGACTTAACTTAATTTATTTATTCAGGATATTTAATTTGAGTTTTATACAAAATTGTATATATAACTACGCTACCTATTTGATCATTTGTAGTTGTCAGATAAATAGGATCATCGACGTAGCTGAAACCTGTACCAACGGGGTTATCGACGAAGATGACGTTAAAATTGTTCACCTAGAAACATTGTGAAATAAAAATATATTTCGACAAAATAATAATAATATATATAAAAGAAATACTTTTTACCCAGGTGTAGTTTCTTTCTTGCAAATTCTCATCAAGCGGACCAAGTATTTCGAAGTTACCAATGCCTGTAGAGGAACCACCGGGTCCACCTTGCAGCCAAACGATGAGAGGTCTCTCAGTGTGATTCGCTACATTAGCGGTGGTGTAGTACATCCAATAGAACATGTGTGCTCCTTCTCTCACAGTCACATACCCGAAATCTTGTTTGTGATCTCCGAATTGAGCTGATTCAAAGAAACAAAATACACAGATGCACATGGTATTGGACGCTTTTTATGAGATAAAACGTAACTTGCGGGGTATTTCAATCTTAATATCTTACCATAAACATAAAATGCCGTTGTTAATACTAATAATATTTTTAGAACAAACATCTTCAGAGACTATACTTGCAAACTAAATAAAAATTATATATTATAAGATAATTGTGCTAATCTGATAAATGTATTAATGTTTTGTAATAATTTGTGATTAAAAATTTATCACTAACCACTTGAATTCAGATAAATTTGGCGTGTTTTCACGTGATAATAGTGTAAATGAGATATGAAAGGAGGTTAATACGATATGGTATAAAAAGAAAGCTTTTTTTATAAAAAAATTAAATAACTTGAAATGTTTGTTCGGGTGAATTGTTGAAGCTCGATATTGAGTGGATATTTTAAGCCTTGATAGAACTAAAATTTCGAACGCAAGATCTGTTTTTATGACAATACATGACAATATGACAACTTTGTGACGTCATTGATAATGTAACATAACTTAGGATTAAAGATAGACATAATCTAAATAAGTGTTAGACATTGGCCATAATTGTTTTTTGTTTCGAACAAATTCAAATGAAACTAATATTTTCGGATTTTTCTTCGCGTTTTATACATACTGTCATACATCGTACAGACCAAGGGAAGCATCGGTACAAGAGTTAAGGAACGCATTTAAGACGTCAGGAATAGGCGCGCGTCGAAGTCAGCAGTATGTGAACATGCATTGGACAAACCAGGCCATTACATTAGATTTGATAAACCACATATCCTCGCTCGTGAAGACAGATATATACCAAGGTAAATCCGCGAGGCTATTGAAATTAAAAAACACCCCAATTTCAATAGCGAAGATGGCTGGAACTTATCAAATCTTATTCTTAAAAAGATAAAATCCCATGTCCGTGACCACACCGCAGAATTTCGAGACACCGTGAGCGCATTCTGCCGGCATCCAGAGCGGTACGCAAGAAAATTAAAAAATCGATGGCGGTAGGAGATAAAATAACCAGACCAACTGACAGACACTCACATCTCGTCTGCCCGTGATCACGGTTGCTGAAAAGTAGCCGAAACGTCGGGAGTATGTAGTTCGTAATCAAAAATAAAAAACGCGAAGTAAAATCCGAAAATATTAGTTTCATTTAAATGAGTACTCCCGAAAAGCTTAGATCTCATTATGTCAAACAAATTCATTTTATATTTGTCACAAACTGACCTTTGTCCTTTGATGAGTAACTTAAAAGAACGTGTTTCACTTCCAAATAAAAACAGGACTTAAAATTTACATATATAATGATTCAGTCAATAAACAATGAAGTACAAACGGTGTTTTTAATTTTGGTACTAAATTCTTTACACGACCGAAAGCACAACATATGTAACGAAAATAGTATTTTGATTATAATGAATGATTCTATACAACAATTAGTAGTTTACGTATAAGAAGTTGTTTTCTGTGTGACTGTTATAAATACGATATCAGACGAAGATAGTATAATTACAGTTTATTCTAGATTTATAATATGTATAATGTTACATTGAAGAGCAACTGTTATTCATTACCTTGAATAATCACGGTTGGATGCTATTCAGAGAATTATAGGATACATTATTAAAGAAGACACTATGTTGATTATCGTCTCATGGTTAAAATTTATTTGTAAATAATAGAAATAAATTGACATGATACTGAAGGTCACACGAAAATGTTTATAATTTAAAAGCGATGCTTTTAATAAGTGTGATTGTATTGAAAAACTATGTACATATAAGTATGGAACAAATTGGAAATTGTGGTTTCGGTAAATCTTAATTAGTTTGAGTAGTAGCTGTTTGCGTTCTTATCAGATGTCAAGTTCATTATGAATTCACAATGAGACACTTACATATATCCGTTATGCAGCCCCCAGCCAGTTTAATATCTCCATTATTAAAAATGATATGATTAAAATATACATATTTCTTAAAAGGCACTTTTTATGTTAATATTGATATATTTTAATTAAACAATAAAAAGATAAAGCTTTATTTACATTTTTAACGGATTTAATAATTATGATAGTGTAATTTATTTTAGCCAAATGAAGTCATGTCACGTAGGAAGGCGCTGCTTCCCGCGGGATTGTCTCTCGGGACCTGCAACGTTAGTTATGATTACATATTGCAATTTATTCATGAATCACATATCCTTTTTATTTACAATATAGCAGTATCAATCCTAATGTACATATATATATATATATATATAATGAATATATTTCAAATATGTGCAATGTATATCAAACAAAACTATTATGGCTGGATTTCTATACAGGTTCAGAATTGGATTTCAATGGAAAGCAAGATAATAACATTGATATTATTCAATTTTGTTTCGATTATTAGTTTATACGTCTCGTATGATGATGTAGTTCAATACGATATTGAGTACAGTTTAAATGTAAATTCTTCTAATGTCTTCTATGTGCATTTATCTTACACTGTGTCCGGCTTTATTTATCCAGAAGAATCGAAAGTTTCCGTAGGATTTGTAATATCCTTCCAATTGATTGTTCACCCAGATTGGATGGCGAGTAGCGTTTTTGTATCCTTCAGCACCATGCCATCGAAGACGATCCACCCATAAGATTTGTCCTGGACAAATACAATTTAAAGAGGATTTTGAAATTTACCTAACCTATCCCCTTATTACTCAGTGCCTAGAATACAAATTGTGTTCTAAGAAAATATTATTAATAATTCGTTGTTACAGAGAATAATAAGAGCAATTTCAAAAAGAGTACAAATATTATTGTATACATATTTGAAAATTACCAAATAAGTTACAAGCTAATTTTAAAAAAAGCTTTGAATGAATTGAAACAGTGTTTTTTGGATTCAGTTAGAACATTTTTGAATATAGCCCATTAGGGTTTATTAAAACTGTACTTACCTGTGGTACTACAAATGAGGTCGAGATTTCCATTGTACTTTGTGATAATAATGTCCGTTTCGTCTAGAAGCTTCTCGACTGTAAATTAAATATTTCATAATTTCAACTTCTTAGTAAAAGTCACTAAAAATAATGCTTTTCCTATTTCGGCTTTTGTGAGTTACAAAAATAATAAGTATCCAGTCCAGTCCAAAAAAAAAAAATAAATTGAAAAATAAAGCTTTTATATTAAGAATATGTGTGTTGTATTAGTTTTTATGTAATGTTTATTTATTCTGTTCATTTCTTTTTTTTGTGTCTTGTGGAATAAAGTATAAAATAAAATGAAATAATACAACATGATCTCTTATATTTTTTTATACTTACCACTTTCGGTCACTGGTTTCATAAAATCTTCTTCGAGAGCGTCAGACACACTGAATGACCTCCAACGCCAGGTGACATTGGCAGGAATTCGAAGAGCTTCCTTCACTCTTGTGTTCATTAAGGTATTAAGAGTATTTCTTGATCTTGTCGATGTCCCATAAAAACTATCTGGCAGCATGAGTTTTTCTATGTCTTTAAGCAAAAAAAAATATCACCATGAGACGAAACTTCTCAGCATTTCATGGATTCACCGTGCGGGTGCCGGGTCCATCGCGTTGCAGGGAGAGGAGCTTCAATAGTGCCTGGGACGAGCGACCCAGGTGTAGGTTTAAGGAGAACCTTATAAGAAGGAGAACCTTATAAGGAGAACCTTAACGCGTGGTAGCGCGTTATGCGCTCACCTCCACTGTCCAAGCTCCTCTCCCTATCTAACCAAATTTGAAAAGAACCTACTACGGCTGTCTTCGATGTACGTTCCAAGAATGCATTAATGTGGGTTCTGGACAGGCCCAAGTCTTTTAGTAGGTTGTAGAGAGATTTCGCTGGGGTACCTCTCGCTCCCACCTCTATTCGAGTGAGACGAACCTATTACGAGTGATGTCGTTAGTGAGCTCGTAATATTAGTTGACCTTGATGGTATGGTCTTTGGGGATGTTGGTTTCCCAAGGAACCGTAAGCTCAATCATCACTACGCGCTTTAAAATACTCGAAAACAAAAATATATCCGGTCTGGAGCCCGACGCACAAATATCTTGAAGACATTTGATTTTGTAGCCCTAGTGCCTTCTCTCACAAAACCTATTGATCGTTCGTTTGTGGTTAATTCCTTTTGCGCTCTGGCTACCGAAAGACTAACCGCTTCACGTATGATTTCTAGAACCCTATCGTGACGACGCGAGTATTGCCCGCTGTCCAGGAGTATTCTACATCCCACCAGCAGGTGCTTAGCAGTTCCAACTGGGGTTCCACAAATATAGCAAGTTTTTTCGGTACCTTTACCCCATCTTACTAAATTACTCTGATCTAGGAGAGTCATCTGGAACGCGTTGAGATAGAATTTTAGCAATGCTGGCGACCAATCATAAATTAAAGTGCGCCATTTTAATGCTAATGGGATGCAAAAATCTCCTATGTCTAACCACTCGTTCTGCATTTCTAAATTCATCGCATGGATCTTATATTTATCATTCTCAATTTATTTGTAGTTAAATAGTCGTATTTTCAACAAATTCTATTACCGTTAACAAAGGTCTGGGACATGGAAGTTTTAGTTAATATATTGTAAAAGTCCACGTTAGTCGTTGCTTGGTAAACAGCCCTGTACGTCATAGACCATTGGTCAGTTGAATTTAAATATGATCCCTCATTGAATAACCGTTCAGCCTCTCGTGCAGTTTTTTGTATTTGTTCGTATCCAGCCTCGTCAACCAGACCAGCAGCTAACAGCAGCGGTCCCCAAGTGAGAGTAGAATCTACTGGACTTATCCAAGCGTTGCCCATAGCTATTCCTCTTAAATTCGATCTTATTGTTCCAGCAATTTCAGCCTATGAAAATAATTGCAAATACATATACATGTATGAAGCAAAATTTTAAATTTTTATTTATATACTATAAAAGTATTAGAAAAATTTACATTAATTTAAAAGTAAAACTTTTTCGTATAAGTTAACGAATCTATTGAAATATAAGTTTTATATGTTATAAATATTTTTTTTTATGTACACAAAGTTGCGGATTACAGCTAGTTTCTATATATAATTTGATTATTCACGTGATTGGTACCTCGCGCATTCGGACACCCATGTCAATCGCCATCTTTCCGCCGTATGATTGTCCGTAAATATAAAGTGGCACTTCTTCGAACTCAGGATTAGATCGATAAAACCCTTTCATCAATTCGACCAAGTCGAGGGCTGTAATGTTAATGGAACTGTTACCTTAATTCCTTTCAGGATGTTTAATGAGAGTTTTAATACAAAATTGTATATACGCTACCTATTTGATCATTTGTAGTTGTCAGATAAATAGGATCATCGACGTAGCTGAAACCTGTACCAACGGGGTTATCGACGAAGATGACGTTAAAATGTTTCACCTAGAAACATAGTGAAATAAAAATATATTTCGATAAAATAATATAAAATAAAATTATTTAATATAATAGAAATACTTTTTACCCAGGTGTAGTTTCTTTCTTGCAAATTCTCATCAAGAGGACCAAGTGTTTCGAAGTTAATACTGCCTGTAGTGGAAACGCCGGGTCCTCCTTCCAGCCACACGATGAGAGGTCTCTCAGTGTGATTCGCTACATTAGCGGTGGTGTAGTACATCCAATAGAACATGTGTGCTCCTTCTCTCACAGTCACATACCCGAAATCTTGTTTGTGATCTCCGAATTGAGCTGATTCAAAGAAACAAAATACACAGATACACATGGTATTGGATGCTTTTTATGAGATAAAACGTAACTTGCGGGGTATTTCAATCTTAATATCTTACCATATACATAAAATGCCGTTGTTAAAACTAATAATATTTTTAGAACAAACATCCTTATACACTATGATTTGAAACTAAATAAAATTTTATATTTTACGGTATTTGTACTAATCTGATAAATGTATCAATGTTTTGTAATAATGATGTTGTGATTAAATATTTATCACATACCCCTTGAAATCAGATTAATTTGGTGGGTTTTTACGTGATAATAATATAACTGAGACATGAAAAAAGAAATCTGTTTTATAAAAAAAATTAAAGAACTTGAAATCTTGAAGCTACATAGGGGAAAGTGGTCGCCATTCCTATGCGGGGCACATTCGTACACTAGGTATAACAGAAAAACAAAACGGCACAGGCAAGTACCAAAGTGGATTTTCTTCATCACTTTCTATTTGCAGCTAAGCAAGATTCAGAAGAATCTGAAGGATCGCAATTTAGCTTGCGGGAAAGCTTAACATCTCTAATCGAATTCGAAATGGACGAAGAAATTGATGATCGTAGTATCGGTGATAAATTAAATGTGACCCCAGATAAAATTAAAGATAATTGTTTCGTGTTGATACAGTCTGAGAAAAGACTTCTGTTGTATACTACGTCGGAAAAGTTCTCAGTCGTTATTCGGGTACAGGGCTGAAAGTATCTTATCTTCGGAAGAAACAGGGCTCATCGTGGTCATTTTTCTTTTCTGATATTGAAGACATACACACTCTGTCTATCACCGATGTCGCCATGATCCTTCCTGATCCACAAGCACGAGTGGGCTGTAAAGTGTGAGTGGGCTGTATGATTAGCTACTTTAAGTTTAGATTGTCAAAGACTGTATAAAGACAGTAAAATGATCTCATAAAAATAATATTACAAAGATATAATTTAGACAGATTGTTAAGCTTACAATTAGCAATAAGTAAACTAAGGATGGCCGATTTAATTTATTGTTATGTTTCTAAAGAAAATTTATCGCCTATGGGCCAATTCAAGTATTATAAGGTTAGTTCTCTGATAAATATATTTATTTATTTTTTATAATAATTAAAAAATACCAATTTATTAGACTTTTTAATTACACTGTATGCATCCACCCCATGGCGTATGAAAGTACCCCACCTACTGTACGAACGTACCCCACGTACGGGGTAACAAATCAAAACAGGACTTAAAATTTATATAATGATTCAGTCAATAATCAATAAAGTACAAATGGTGGTTTTAATTTTGGTACAAAATTCTTTACAAGATCGAAAGCACAATATATGTAACGAAAATAGTATTTTGATTATAATGAATGATTCTATACAACAATTAGTAGTTTACGTATAAGAAGTTGTTTTCTGTGTGACTGTTGTAAATACGATATCAGACGAAGATAGTATAATTACAGTTGATTCTAGATTTATAATATACCTAATGTTACATTGAAGAGCAACTGTTATTCATTACCTTGAATAATCACGGTTGGATGCTATTTAGAGAATTATGAGGATATATTATTAAAGAAGACACTATGTTGATTATCGTCTCATGGTTAGAGTTTATTTGTAAATAATAGAAATAAATTGACATGATACTGAAGGTTACACGAAAATGTTTATAATTTAAAAGCGATGCTTTTAATAAGTGTAATTGTATTGTAAAACTATAAGTATGGAACAAATTGGAAATTGTGGTTTCAGTAAAGCTTAATTAGTTTGAGTAGTAGCTGTTTGAGTTCTTATCAGATATCAAGTTCGTTATGAATTCACAATGAGAGACTTATATCCATTATGTAGCCCCGAGCCAGTTTAATATCTCCATTATTAAAAATGATATGATTAAAATAAACATATTTCTTAAAAGGCACTTTTTATGTTAATATTGATATATTTTAATTAAACAATAAGAAGAAAAAGCTTTATTTACATTTTTAACGGATTCAATAATTATGATATCGTAATTTATTTTAGCCAAATGAAGTCATGTCACGTAGGAAGGCGCTGCTTCCCGCGGGATTGTCTCTCGGGACCTGCAACGTTAGTTATGATTAGATATTGCAATTTATTCATGAACCACATATCCTTTTTATTTACAATATAGCAGTATCAATCCTAATGTACATATATATATATATATATTATATATATTATGTATATATATAATGAATATATTTCAAATATGTGCAATGTATATCAAACAAAACTATTATGGCTGGATTTCTATACAGGTTCAGAATTGGATTTCAATGGAAAGCAATATAATAACATTGATATTACTCAATTTTGTTTCGATTATTAGTTTATACGTCTCGTATGATGATGTAGTTCAATACGTATAGTATATACAAAAATAAATAGATATTGAGAACAGTTTAAATGTAAATTCTTCTTATGTCTTCTATGTGCATTTTTCTTACACTGTGTCCGGCTTTATTTATCCAGAAGAATCGAAAGTTTCCGTAGGATTTGTAATATCCTTCCAATTGATTGTTCACCCAGATTGGATGGCGAGTAGCGTTTTTGTATCCTTCAGCACCATGCCATCGAAGACGATCCACCCATAAGATTTGTCCTGGACAAATACAATTTAAAGAGGATTTTGCAATTTACCTAACCTATACCCTTATTACTCAGTGCTTAGAATACAAATTGTGTTCTAAGAAAATATTATTAATAATTCGTTGTTACAGAGAATAATAAGAGCAATTTCAAAAAAAGTACAAATATTATTGTATACATATTTGAAAATTACCAAATAAGTTACAAGCTAATTTTAAAAAAAGCTTTGAATGAATTGAAACAGTGTTTTTTAGGATTCAGTTAGAACATTTTTGAATATAGCTCATTAGGGTTTATTAAAACTGTTCTTACCTGTGGTACTACAAATGAGATCGAGATTTCCATTGTACTTTGTGATAATAATGTCCGTTTCGTTTAGAAGCTTCTCGACTGTAAATTAAATATTTCATAATTTCAACTTCTTTGTAAAAGTCACTAAAAATAATGCTTTTCCTATTTCGGCTTTTGTGAGTTACAAAAATTATAAGTGTCCAGTCAGATCAAATAATAATTAAACTTAACCAAATCAAAAAATTCGTATTAAAACCTCTGATATGTATAAAAATCGAACCACTTAGTTTTTAACATATTAGTTTAATTCATTATTAAGGACATAGTTATAAGATTCAATGAAGTATTTTATAAAATTTCCATGAATTTGTGTATGTAGCGAAAAAAAAGAATTGAAAAATAAAGCTTTTATATTAAGAATATGTGTGTTGTATTAGTTTTTATGTAATGTTTTTTTATTCTGTTCAATTCTTTTTTTATTGTGTCCTGTGGAATAAAGTGTAAAATAAAATGAAATAATACAACATGATCTCTTATATTTTTTTATACTTACTACTTTCGGTCACTGGTTTCAAAAAATCTGTTCTGAGTGCGTTAAACACTCTGTTTGATGACGCACTCCAGGTGACATTGGCAGGAATTCGAAGAGCTTCCTTCACTCTTGTGTTCATTAAGGTATTAAGAGTAGTGCTTGATCTTCTAGATATTCCATAAAAACTATCTGACAGAGTGAGTTTTCCTATGTCTTTAAGAAAAAAAGAAATCACCATATTTGGTTGTAGTTAAATAGTCGTATTTTTAACAAATTCTGTTACCGTTATCAAAGGTCTGGGGCACTGGTCTTTTAGTTAATATATTGTAGAAGTCCACGTCAGTCGTTGCTCGGTAAACAGCCCTGTACGTCGTAGTCCATTGGACATTTGAACTTGAAAATGATCCCTCGTTGAATAACCGCTCAGTCTCTCGTGCAGATGTTTGTATTAGTTCATATCCAGCCTCGTCAACCAGACCAGCAGCTAACAGTAGCGGTCCCCAAGTGAGAGTAGAATCTACTGGACTTATCCAAGCGTTGCCCATAGCTATTCCTCTTAAATTTGATCTTATCGTTCCAGCAATTTCAGCCTATGAAAATAATTGCAATTACATATGATAGTATTTTAGCCTATGAATTGCAACTACATACATTAGTCAGTTGTGGCCTAAGGGTTAGAGGGCCCGCCTCTCGTTGTTGAGATTTTTTTGAGTCGTATGTACTTTCTAAGAGTATTTAGACACCACTGACAGACGGTGAAGGAAAACATCGTGAGGAAACCTAGACTTATAATTTCACAATTATAAGTTTGAAATCAACAATTCGTCTTGACCAAGCGTGGTGATTAATGCTCAAACTGAAATAGCTCAGTAAGAACATTCCCAAAAATGCCCAGGCAGGCGGCCGATCGTAAAAAATAATTAGCCGAAACTATCTATAACATGTTCTGCGGAAGAGTTATTTTTTTGGCAGATCCTGGCTAAAGCAGAGAAATTGCCAGAAAGAAGAAGAAGATAATATACGTATGAACCAAATTTTAAAAATTAATTAATATATAAAAGTAATAGAAAAATTTACATTAAATTAAGAGTAAAAGTTAAAATTTTTCGTATATATAAGTTAACGAATCTGTTGAAATATAAGTATTATGTGTTATAATTATTGAAAAATTTTTTATGTACACAAAGTTGCGGATTACAGCTAGTTTCTATATATAATTTGATTATTCACGTGATTCGTACCTCGCGCATTCGGACACCCATGTCAATCGCCATCTTTCCGCCGTATGATTGTCCGTAAATATAAAGTGGCACTTCTTCGAACTCAGGATTAGATCGATAAAACCCTTTCATCAATTCGACCAAGTCGAGGGCTGTAATGTTAATGGAACTGTTACCTTAATTCCTTTCAGGATGTTTAATGAGAGTTTTAATACAAAATTGTATATACGCTACCTATTTGATCATTTGTAGTTGTCAGATAAATAGGATCATCGACGTAGCTGAAACCTGTACCAACGGGGTTATCGACGAAGATGACGTTAAAATGTTTCACCTAGAAACATAGTGAAATAAAAATATATTTCGATAAAATAATATAAAATAAAATAATTTAATATAAAAGAAATACTTTTTACCCAGGTGTAGTTCCTTTCTTGCAAATTCTCATCAAGCGGACCAAGTGTTTCGAAGTTAATACTGCCTGTAGTGGAAACGCCGGGTCCTCCTTCCAGCCACACGATGAGAGGTCTCTCAGTGTGATTCGCTACATTAGCGGTGGTGTAGTACATCCAATAGAACATGTGTGCTCCTTCTCTCACAGTCACATACCCGAAATCTTGTTTGTGATCTCCGAATTGAGCTGATTCAAAGAAACAAAATACACAGATACAAATAGTGTTGGGTGCTTTTTATGAGATAAAACGTAACTTGCGGGGTATTTCAATCTTAATATCTTACCATACACATAAAATGCCGTTGTTAAAACTAATAATATTTTTGGAACAAACATCCTTATAGACTATGATTTAAAACTAAATAAAATTTTGTATTTTACGATATTTGTACTAATCTGATAAATGTATCAATGTTTTGTAATAATGATGTTGTGATTAAATATTTATCACAAACCCCTTGAATTCAGATTACTTTGCCGGGTTTTTACGTGATAATAATATAAATGCGATATAAGGAGGTTAATACAATATGGTACAAAAAAGAAAACTATTTAATAAAAAAATTAAAGAACTTGAAATCTTGAAGCTACATAGGGGAAAGTGGTCACCATTCCTATGCGGGGCACATTCGTACACTAGGTATAACAGAAAAACAAAACGGCACAGGCAAGTACCAATGTGGATTTTCCGAGTCATATGTACTTTCTAAGAGTATTTAGACATCACAGATTAATGCATTCCCAAAAGGGGGTGGATGTCAGGCAGGTGGCCGGCCGTAAAAACAATTAGCCAAAACTATTCATAACATGTAAGGCAGACTTTGGCTAAAGCTGGGAAATTGCCAGGTAGAAGAAGAAATATTAATGTTAATATTTATTATTTTGAGCTTTTATTGTTGTATTTCGGAAACTAAATTAGAATTTGTGTAAAGTTGTTTGAATTTTGTCCAAGACATTGGGTGCATTCGGACAGCCAGCCATGGGGCATATTCGTACGGATACGAATTAGAATTTATTAAACTCTAGAATCACAACCCTCCAAAGTGTGCCATCTACTGATATGGATGAGCCAGATATTTGTAAGGAATCGCCTTCTTTGCTTCAAAATGCTCAAAATATTTTAACCGGATCTGACGAACCTTATATGCAACTAAGACACAATCTGAACCGAGTGCTTATCTTCCCGCAACACCAGAAATTGTTAAATTTTATCCTACAGTTGTTAGAAACAGAAAAACCAATAAAGGAAGAATACCGGGTAAATCCCGCATGTATACAGATACACCTGAAAAAACAGCACCAGAAAAGAGACATAAACAGTAATAATTGAAAAAAATACATCGGGAAAGAAAAGCCAGAGACAAAGCGTTGAAACGTAGTTTGACCGAACTTAATTTAATACATAAGAAAGAGAAAGCTAAGCAAATAGAAAGTGATGAAGATTTAGAAAAATCTGAAGGATCGCAATTTAGATTGCGGGAAAGCTTAACATCTCTAATCGAATTCGAAATGGACGAAGAAATTGATGATCATATTATCGGTGATAATTTAAATGTGACCCCAGATAAAATTAAAGATAATTGTTTTGTGTTGATAAAGTTTGAGAAAAGACTTCTGTTGTATACTACGTCGGAAAAGTTCTCAGTCGTTATTCGGGTACAGGGCTGAAAGTATCTTATCTTCGGAAGAAACAGGGCTCATCGTGGTCATTCTTCTTCTCTGATATTGAAGACATACACACTCTGTCTATCACCGATGTCGCCATGATCCTTCCTGATCCACAACCACGAGTGGGCTGTACAGTGTGAGTGGGCTGTATGATTAGCTACTTTAAGTTTAGATTGTCAAAGACTGTATAAAGATAGTATAATGATCACATAAAAATAATATTACAAAGATATAATTTAGACAGATTGTAAAGCTTACAATTAGCAATAAGTAAACTAAGGATGGCCGATTTCATTTATTGTTATGTTTCTAAAGAAAATTTATCGCCTATGGGCCAATTCAAGTATTATGAAATTAGTTCTTTGATAAATATATTTATTTATTTTTTATGGTAATTAAAAAAATACCAATTTATTAGACTTTTTAATTACACTGTATGCATCCACCCCATGGCGTATGAAAGTACCCCACCTACTGTACGAACGTACCCCACGTACGGGGTAACAAATCAAAACAGGACTTAAAATTTATATAATGATTCAGTCAATAAACAATGAAGAACAAACGGTGGTTTTAATTTTGGTACAAAATTCTTTACAAGATCGAAGCATAATATAAATATGTAACGAAAATAGTATTTTGATTATAATGAATGATTCTATATAACAATTAAAAATTTACGTATAAGAAGTTGTTTTCTGTGTGACTGTTATAAATACGATATCAGACGAAGATACTATAATTACAGTTTATTCTAGATTTATAATATAATGTTACATTGTAGAGCTACTGTTATTCTGTACTTTGAATAATCACGGTTGGATGCTATTCAGATACATTATTAAAGAAGACACTATGTTGATTATCGTCTCATGGTTAGAATTTATTTGTTAATAATATAAATAAATTGACGTCATACTGAAGGTCATGGAGTAAAGGTTTTAAATATATTAGAAACGTTACTCGGAAATGTTTATAATTTAAAAGCGATGCCTTTTAATAAGGGTAATTGTATTGAAAAACGATAATTATGGAACTAATTGGAAATTGTGGTTTCAGTAAAGCTTAATTAGTTTTAGTAGTAGCTGTTTGAGTTCTTATCAGATATCAAGTTCGTTATGAATTCACAATGAGAGACTTATATCCATTATGCAACCCCGAGCCAGTTTAATATTTCCATTATTTATAATGATATGATTAAAATATACATATTTCATAAAAGGCACTATTTATGTTAATATTGATAGATGTTTTAATTAAACAATGAAAGTAAAAAGCTTTATTTACATTTTTAAAGGATTTAATAATTATGATATCGTAATTTATTTTAGCCAAATGAAGTCATGTCACGTAGGAAGGCGCTGCTTCCTTCGGGATTGTCTCTCGGGACCTGCAACGTTAGTTATGATTAGATATTGCAATTTATTCATGAACCACATATCCTTTTTATTTACAATATAGCTGTATCAATCTTAATCTATATATATATATATATATATATATATATATATATATATATATATATATATATATATATATATATATATGTGAATACATTTCAAATAAGTGCAATGTAAGAATATCAAACAAGACTATAATGGTTGGATTTCTATACAGGTTCAGAATTGGATTCCAATAAAAAGCAATATAATAACATTGATATTACTCAATTTTGTTTCGATTATTAGTTTAAACGTCTCGTATGTTGATGTAATTCAATACGTATAATATATACAAACATATATATGTAGATATTGACTACAATTTAAATGTAAATTCTTCTAATGTCTTCTATGTGCATTTATCTTACACTGTGTCCGGCTTTATTTATCCAGAAGAATCGAAAGTTTCCGTAGGATTTGTAATATCCTTCCAATTGATTGTTCACCCAGATTGGATGGCGAGTAGCGTTTTTGTATCCTTCAGCACCATGCCATCGAAGACGATCCACCCATAAGATTTGTCCTAGACAAATACAATTTAATGAGGATTTTGCAATTTACCTAACCTATGCCCTTATTACTCAGTGCCTAGAATACAAATTGTGTTCTAATAAAATATTAATAATATGTTGTTGCAGAGAATAATAAAAGCGATTTCAAAAAAAGTACAAATATTATTATTTGTGAAAATACCCAAATAAATTTAAAAATAGCTTTGAATGAATTGAGACAATGGTTTTTGGATTTAGTTAGAACAGTTTTTAATGTAGCCCTAATAAACTGTACTTACCTGTGGTACTACAAATGAGGTCGAGATTTCCATTGTACTTTGTGATAATAATGTCCGTTTCGTTTAGAAGCTTCTCGACTGTAAATTAAATGTTTCATAATTTCAACTGCTTTGTACAAGTAACTAAAAATAATGCTGTTTCCTATTTCGGCTGTTGTGAGTTACAAAAATAAATAGTGTCCAGTTAGACCAAAAAATAATATGTACAGAATCAGACAATAATAGATATTATGTTCCTTTAAGAAATTTGTATTAAAACCTCTGATATGTATAAACATCGAATCAATAAGTTTTTAACATATTAGTTTAATTTATTATTACCGACATAGTTATAACATTCAATGAAGTATTTTATAAAGTGTCCATGAATTTATTTATGTCGCACATTTTATGTGACGGTGTTATAAGTGGTCGCTTAATTGAAATATAATTATCTTTATCCGGTGTAATCGGAGGACGGATTAACTAAACTCGTCTATTCTACACGGGTCTGACTCAGCAGTTCCGTGTGAAGACAGTTTTTGGTTTTACATTTCTTTTAAGCTTTTAGTTTTATATTTCTTTTAAGGGGATAATTAGAATATTGTCACTATTTGTTCAACCTTTGTGCAACATAGTCTAACCCTAGTTGTTATTTACTTTATAATTAAATTAAGTCAAATAATTTTGGTTTCATTGTATCCACCGACCGTCGAAATCATAATTCACAAAAAAAAAAATATTGATTATAAAATAAAGCTTTTATACTATTAATATTAGGAATATGTGTGTTATATTAGCTTCATATAATGTCTGTTTTTTCTGTTCTATTCTTTTTTATTATGTCCTATTTAGTAAAGTGTACAATTAAATGAAATTAACACGTTCTCTTATATTTTTTATACTTACTGCTTTCGGTCACAGGTTTCATAAAATCTGCTTCGAGAGCGTCAAACACACTGATTGACATATCAATCCAGGTGACATTGGCAGGAATTCGAAGAGCTTCTTTCACTCTTGTGTTCATTAAGGTATTAAGAGTAGTGCTTGATCTTCTAGCTATTCCATGAAAACTATCTGGCCGAGTGACTTTTCCAATGTCTTTAAGAAAAAAAAAATCACCAAGTTTGGTTGTAGTAAAATAGTCGTATTTTTAACAAATTCTATTACCGTTATCAAAGGTCTGGGGCACTGGATTTTTAGTTAATATATTGTAAAAGTCCACGCTAGTCGTTGCTTGGTCAACAGCTCTTTGAGTCTCAGACCATTGGTCAGTTGAACTTGAAAATGATCCCTCGTTGAATAACCGCTCAGTCTCTCGTGCAGATGTTTGTATTAGTTCATATCCAGCCTCGTCAACCAGACCAGCAGCTAATAGCAGCGGTCCCCAAGTGAGAGTGGAATCTACTGGACTTATCCAAGCGTTGCCCATAGCTATTCCTCTTAAATTTGATTTTATTGTTCCAGCAATTTCAGCCTAAGAAAATAATTGCAATTATACATATATACATATATGTATGAACCAAATTTTAAAAATTAAATAATATATAAAAGTAATAGAAAAATTTACCTTAAATTTAGAGTAAGAGTTAAAATTTTTCGTATATATAAGTTAACGAATCTGTTGAAATATAAGTTTTGTGTGTTATAAGTCTTGAAGACATATTCTATGTATACAAAGTCGCGGATTACAGCTAGTTTATACATGTAATTTGATTATTTATGTGATTGGTACCTCGCGCATTCGGACACCCATGTTGATCGCCATCTTTCCGCCGTATGATTGTCCGTAAATATAAAGTGGCACTTCTTCGAACTCAGGATTAGATCGATAAAACCCTTTCATCAATTCGACCAAGTCGAGGGCTGTAATGTTAATGGAAGTGTTACCTTAATTTCTTTCAGGATGTTTAATTTGAGTTTTTTCACAAAATTGTATATAACTACGCTACCTATTTGATCATCTGTAGTTGTCAGATAAATAGGATCATCAACGTAGCTGAAACCTGTACCAACGGGGTTATCGACGAAGATGACGTTAAAGTGTTTCACCTAGAAACATAGTGAAATAAAAATATATTTCGATAAAATCATATAAAATAAAATAATTTAATATAAAAGAAATACTTTTTACCCAGGTGTAGTTCCTTTCTTGCAAATTCTCATCAAGCGGACCAAGTGTTTCGAAGTTAATACTGCCTGTAGTGGAAACGCCGGGTCCTCCTTCCAGCCACACGATGAGAGGTCTCTCAGTGTGATTCGCTACATTAGCGGTGGTGTAGTACATCCAATAGAACATGTGTGCTCCTTCTCTCACAGTCACATACCCGAAATCTTGTTTGTGATCTCCGAATTGAGCTGATTCAAAGAAACAAAATACACAGATACAAATTGTGTTGGGTGCTTTTTATGAGAACGTAACTTGCGGGGTATTTCAATCTTAATATCTTACCATATACATAAAATGCCGTTGTTAAAACTAATAATATTTTTGGAACAAACATCCTTATAGACTATGATTTAAAACTAAATAAAATTTTGTATTTTACGATATTTGTACTAATCTGATAAATATATCAATGTTTTGTAATAATGATGTTGTGATTAAATATTTATCACATACCCCTTGAAATCAGATTAATTTGTTGGGTTTTTACGTGATAATAATATAAATGAGATATGAAAAAAGAAATCTGTTTTATAAAAAAATTAAAGGACTTGAAATCTTCAAGCTACATAGGGGAAAGTGGTCACCATTCCTATGCGGGGCACATTCGTACATTAGGTATAACAGAAAAACAATACCGCACAGGCAAGTACCAATGTGGATTTTCCGAGTCATATGTACTTTCTAAGAGTATTTAGACATCATAGATTAATGCATTCCCAAAAGGGGGTGGATGTCGGGCAGGCGGCCGGTCGTAAAAACAATTAGCCAAAACTATTCATAACATGTAAGGCAGACTTTGACTAAAGCTGGGAAATTGCCAGGTAGAAGAAGAAATATTAATGTTAATAAACTAAATTAGAATTTGTGTAAAGTTGTTTGAATTTTGTCCAAGACATTGGGTGCATTCGGACAGCCAGCCATGGGGCATATTCGTACGGATACGAATTAGAATTTATTAAACTCTAGAATCACAACCCTCCAAAGTGTGCCATCTACTGATATGGATGAGCCAGATATTTGTAAGGAGTCGCCTTCTTTGCTTCAAAATGCTCAAAATATTTTAACCGGATCTGACGAACCTTATATGCAACTAAGACACAATCTGAACCGAGTGCTTATCTTCCCGCAACACCAGAAATTGTTAAATTTTATCCCACAGTTGTTAGAAACAGAAAAACCAATAAAGGAAGAATACCGGGTAAATCCCGTATGTATACAGATACACCTGAAAAAACAGCACCAGAAAAGAGACATAAACAGTAATAATTGAAAAAAATACATCGGGAAAGAAAAGCCAGAGACAAAGCGTTGAAACGTAGTTTGACCGAACTTAATTTAATACATAAGAAAGAGAAAGCCAAGCAAATAGAAAGTGATGAAGATTTAGAAAAATCTGAAGGATCGCAATTTAGATTGCGGGAAAGCTTAAAATCTCTAATCGAATTCGAAATGGACGAAGAAATTGATGATCAATAGTATCGGTGATAATTTAAATGTGACCCCAGATAAAATTAAAGATAATTGTTTTGTGTTGATAAAGTTTGAGAAAAGACTTCTGTTGTATACTACGTCGAAAAAGTTCTCAGTCGTTATTCGGGTACAGGGCTGAAAGTATCTTATCTTCGGAAGAAACAGGGCTCATCGTGGTGATTCTTCTTCTCTGATATTGAAGACATACACACTCTGTCTATCACCGATGTCGCCATGATCCTTCCTGATCCACAACCACGAGTGGGCTGTACAGTGTGAGTGGGCTGTATGATTAGCTACTTTAAGTTTAGATTGTCAAAGACTGTATAAAGATAGTATAATGATCACATAAAAATAATATTACAAAGATATAATTTAGACAGATTGTAAAGCTTACAATTAGCAAAAAGTAAACTAAGGATGGCCGATTTCATTTATTGTTATGTTTCTAAAGAAAATTTATCGCCTATGGGCCAATTCAAGTATTATGAAGTTAGTTCTTTGATAAATATATTTATTTATTTTTTATGGTAATTAAAAAAATACCAATTTATTAGACTTTTTAATTACACTGTATGCATCCACCCCATGGCGTATGAAAGTACCCCACCTACTGTACGAACGTACCCCACGTACGGGGTAACAAATCAAAACAGGACTTAAAATTTATATAATGATTAAGTCAATAAAGTTAAGATTGCGATGGTTAAGCGTCGTCACGAATGACATGTATAACTGCGATCTGGATGGGGAAGATGTCCATGATAGAGCGATGTGGAAGAAAAACAGCAGGAAAGCGGACCCCGTCACAAGACGGGATTACGCTAAGAAGAAGAAGAATTCAGTCAATAAAGAATGAAGTACTAAAAGTGGTTTTAATTTTGGTACAAAATTCTTTACAAGATCGAAGCACAATATACATATGTAACGAAAATAGTATTTTGATTATAATGAATGATTCTATACAACAATTAAAAATTTACGTATAAGAAGTTGTTTTCTGTGTGACTGTTATAAATACGATATCAGACGAAGATACTATAATAATTATAACTATTTATTACATTCTAGATTTATAATATATTATAATGTTACATTGTAGAGCAACTGTTATTATCTCTTTGAATAATTACGCTTGGATGCTATACACTCTTAAAAAAGACACTATGTTGATTATCGTCTCATGGTTAGAATTTATTTGTAAATAATATAAATAAATTGACGTCATACTGAAGGTCACGGAGTAAAGCTTTTAAAAATATTAGAAACGTTACTCGGAAATGTTTATAATTTAAAAGCGATGCCTTTTAATAAGGGTAATTGTATTGAAAACGATAATTATGGAACAAATTTGAAATTGTGGTTTCAATAAAGCTTAATTAGTTTGAGTAGTAGCTGTTTGAGTTCTTATCAGATATCAAGTTCGTTATGAATTCACAATGAGAGACTTATATCCATTATGCAACCCCGAGCCAGTTTAATATTTTCATTATTTATAATGATATGATTAAAATATACATATTTCATAAATGGCACTTTTTATGTTAATATTGATAGATGTTTTAGTTAAACAATGAAAGGAAAAAGCTTTATTAACATTTTTAAAGGATTTAATAATTATGATAGTGTAATTTATTTTAGCCAAATGAAGTCATGTCACGTAGGAAGGCGCTGCTTCCCGCGGGATTGTCTCTCGGGACCTGCAACGTTAGTTATGATTAGATATTGCAATTTATTCATGAATCACATATCCTTTTTATTTACAATATAGCTGTATCAATCTTAATCTATATATATACATATATATATATATATATATATATATATATATATATATATATATATATATATATATATGTGAATACATTTCAAATAAGTGCAATGTAAGAATATCAAACAAGACTATAATGGTTGGATTTCTATACAGGTTCAGAATTGGATTCCAATAAAAAGCAATATAATAACATTGATATTACTCAATTTTGTTCCGATTATTAGTTTAAACGTCTCGTATGTTGATGTAATTCAATACGTATAATATATACAAACATATATATGTAGATATTGACTACAATTTAAATGTAAATTCTTCTAATGTCTTCTATGTGCATTTATCTTACACTGTGTCCGGCTTTATTTATCCAGAAGAATCGAAAGTTTCCGAAGGATTTGTAATATCCTTCCAATTGATTGTTCACCCAGATTGGATGGCGAGTAGCGTTTTTGTATCCTTCAGCACCATGCCATCGAAGACGATCCACCCATAAGATTTGTCCTGGACAAATACAATTTAAAGAGGATTTTGCAATTTACCTAACCTATCCCCTTATTACTCAGTGCCTAGAACAGAAATTGTGTTCTAAGAAAATATTATTAATAATCCGTTGTTGCAGATAATAATAAAAGCGATTTCAAAAAAAGTACAAATATTATTATTTGTGAAAATTACCAAATAATTTTAAAAATAGCTTTGAATGAATTGAGACAATGTTTTTTGGGTTTAGTTAGAACAGTTTTAAATGTAGCCCTAATAAACTGTACTTACCTGTGGTACTACAAATGAGGTCGAGATTTCCATTGTACTTTGTGATAATAATGTCCGTTTCGTTTAGAAGCTTCTCGACTGTAAATTAAATGTTTCATAATTACAACTGTTTTGTAAAAGTAACTAAAAATTATTGCGAAATAAAGTTTTTATACTATGTATATTTTTTCTGTTCAATTATTTTTATTGTCTCCTGTCGAATATAGTCGAACATGTTCTCTTATATTTTTTATACTTACTGCTTTCGGTCACTGGTTTCATAAAATCTTTTTCGAGAGCTTTGTTAACACTGTATGACATCCAACGCCAGGTGACATTGGCAGGAATTCGAAGAGCTTCTTTCACCTTTGTGTTCATTAATGTATTAAGAGTATTTCTTGATCTTGCCGATGTTCCATAAAAACTATCTGGCAGAGTGAGTTTTCCTATGTCTTGAAGAAAAAAAAATATCACCATATTTGGTTGTAGTTAAATAGTCGTATTTTTATCACATTCTATTACCGTTATCAAAGGTCTGGCGCGCTGGAGTTTTAGTTAATATATTGTAGAAGTCCACGTTAGTCGTTGCTCGGTAAACAGCCATGGATGTCGCAGACCATTGGACAGTTGAATTTAAATATGATCCTTCATTGAATAACCGTTCAGTCTCTCGTGCAGATGTTTGTATTCGTTCGTATCCAGCCTCGTCAACCAGACCAGCAGCTAACAGTAGCGGTCCCCAAGTGAGAGTGGAATCTACTGGACTTATCCAAGCGTTGCCCATAGCTATTCCTCTTAAATTTGATCTTATTGTTCCAGCAATTTCAGCCTAAGAAAATAATTGCAATTATATATATATATATATATATATGTATGAACCAAATTTTAAAAACTAAATAATATATAAAAGTAATAGAAAAATTTACATTAAATTTAGAGTAAGAGTTAAAATTTTTCGTATATATAAGTTAACGAATCTGTTGAAATATAAGTTTTGTGTGTTATAAGTGTTGAAGACATGTTCTATGTACACAAAGTCGCGGATTACAGCTAGTTTATATATGTAATTTGATTATTTATGTGATTGGTACCTCGCGCATTCGGACACCCATGTCGATCGCCATCTTTCCGCCGTATGATTGTCCGTAAATATAAAGTGGCACTTCTTCGAACTCAGGATTAGATCGATAAAACCCTTTCATCAATTCGACCAAGTCGAGGGCTGTAATGTTGATGGAAGTGTTAGCTTAATTTCTTTCAGGATGTTTAATTTGAGTTTTTTCACAAAATTGTATATAACTACGCTACCTATTTGATCATCTGTAGTTGTCAGATAAATAGGATCATCGACGTAGCTGAAACCTGTACCAACGGGGTTATCGACGAAGATGACGTTAAAATGGTTCACCTAGAAACATAAATAGTGAAATATAAAAAAATATATTTCGATAAAATAATAATTATTATTGAATAAAAAGAAATACTTTTTACCCAGGTGTAGTTCCTTTCTTGCAAATTCTCATCAAGCGGACCAAGTGTTTCGAAGTTAATACTGCCTGTAGTGGAAACGCCGGGTCCTCCTTCCAGCCACACGATGAGAGGTCTCTCAGTGTGATTCGCTACATTAGCGGTGGTGTAGTACATCCAATAGAACATGTGTGCTCCTTCTCTCACAGTCACATACCCGAAATCTTGTTTGTGATCTCCGAATTGAGCTGATTCAAAGAAACAAAATACACAGATACAAATTGTGTTGGGTGCTTTTTATGAGAACGTAACTTGCGGGGTATTTCAATCTTAATATCTTACCATACACATAAAATGCCGTTGTTAAAACTAATAATATTTTTAGAACAAACATCCTTATAGAGTATGATTTGATACTAAATAAAATTTTATATTTTACGATATTTGTACTAGTCTGATAAATGTATCAATGTTTTGCAATAATAATATTTTGATTAAATATTTATCACAAACCCCTTGAATTCAGATTAATTTGCCGGGTTTTTACGTGATAATAAGATAAATGAGATATGAAAGGATTTTTTTTTGTTCACGCGGTGAACGGTTTTATACCTACCCCTCCGTCTAAGGGAGTCGAACGGCCACCTTCACTCGGCTCGGCTCACTCCAAGTGACCATTAGCGTCCCCCCGCCTGGCGGGCTTGCTGAATCGCGAGACTGTTTACTCTTTACCCCTCCCACCCAAGCCCACGCGGCCATTCTCCAACCACCCACCGACGAGCGCAAGCATCCGGCGGCAGACAGAGAGGAAACCGACCGACCTCAAGTGAACTCAGGCTTCCGGAGAGACCCGAGTATCCTCTCCCCCAAGACAGCCACAGAGGGCCTCCTGCCAGATCCGTGACCGTCTGACTCCTAGGGCTGTACTCCCAGCCCCCCCCCCCAATGACAGATTGCACCGGATCCCGGATCCCGGACTGTGCCGTCGGTGGCTGAAGGCCAAAAAATAAGGTAAAAAAAATTGTAATTTTAACATAGTAATTTTCATTTTAAGTCTATTTTATTACCTACTTCATACTTCTTAATAATTATAAGATTGTCAAAGAAAATAAGGCAAGTTTGCAATTAAATCAACGTTTTCTAATAAATAATTTTAAACGTCAATTGATTATAATTTGTTTACTTTATTTAGTAATTTAATTTATTAGGATAAATTTTATTAAAGGAATAATTATTACATATACTATTTATTAATAACTTTATTTATAAACCTTGTGGTTAAAGTGTGCCACATTTGAGACGTTTGATCGTAAGCCCCTCCCTTTACCCTTGATGTCCTCAAAATGTTGCCAGAATATCTCAATTATTTGGTCATTCCACATGAACTGCTTCAGTGAGTGATGTGTCATTGTTTTATTATATTTAATTTAAAATTTTATTCCCAAATATAAGTTAAAATTATATTGATATATTCTATTACTATATCATTAAATTTGTCTAATTTCTTATAGACATATTAATTATTACATAACCTTAAAATTTATTTGGCTATTATTAGAGTTTAGTGCTTGTCATTTGTTTTGGCGAGTAAAATCAAATACAGTTTGGGAAATGAAATAAGAATAAAGGACGCTAGAGATTTTTACCAAAATTGATTTATATCTCAAAAGTGAGCGTATATACGAGTATTGTGAAACAATTGTATTAAAACAATTTAATTTACGACTTTTCGCGACGAATGTTGAGCTGTTTATAATCATTTTATTAATTCTAATTGCATTTACATACATATATTTTGAATTTTTAAGTTAACTATTTTAATAAGATATTTATTTTAATATCGGAGGCTTGCAGACAAATTATTTGAGTGAAAGAAGAGATCAAATGGCTCCTGATATAAAAGATTTTTTTTTATTTTACTTAATAAATAGCATGTAAGTAGTGGAGTTGAGATTATTCAAATATTTAACTAAATCTTTTAATGCTTGATTCAAAATAAATAATACTGGTTTGTCTTAAATGCTGTAATAAGTGTAACTTGTTGCTGAAGGTAAAATTTTCTGAATTTATTTTTCAGAAAAAATCTATTTCAAGATGTTTATGAGGGATCGAGGTTATTATACATTTCAAGCAAGTTTGCCTAATATTTCTATCGTTATCTAACATCTAGTAGACACATATTTTATATATTAATTTGTCATACTCAAATTTCCATTAAATTATTTTATAATATTTCCCGCTTTACGTCACATTATTAAAAATTTAATTATCAGCTTTCCTAAGTTTGGAAGACACATTTTTTATTAAACAGAATCCATAAAATATCTTGTTTCACATTCTGTAAAATCTATTTTATTTTAGTACAGATCAAGAATACAATTAATTTCCTTTATGGTAATATTGTATATGAAGACACGAATATTCATTAGAACTTTTGGCGGTTCCCAACAAAAAAGTAAGAACCTGCTCTACTTATTTTTGATATGGTAAACAACATTTTTTTTCACTTGGATATCTCGTTGATTTAAGCTGTTTAGTTAATGACATATAATTTTAATTTATTCATTATTTAAATATCCTCGTACCATAATTAAAGGTTTGGAAATAAGAGTAATAAATGCTATACTTATATTGTTTACGTGCAAGGTTTGAAATAATTGTTTAGTTTATAAACAAAAAAGAAACTGATTAAAGTTTCTATAGAAGTAGCATTGTTGTGGGAAGTAGCATTGGATCGCTTCCTGTTTTAACAAGTTAAAGGTTACGACAAAAACATGTGATGGAAATTAATTACCTCGGGATAAGTAGAATCTTCTTCCTAATTTCACTTAAAGTATACTGCTGTATGTAAAGTCTCGTAAATCCTAGAGGTAGAGACCATCCTCTTAGAAAACTTCCAATTATTGTTGTCTTGTTCTTGAACCGGGTCATGAACTTGTGTAGATCCAGCTCATTATTGACAACCAATATAAATTTCTTCAAAATCGATCGACTGAGTATGCTATGTTGCATTGCATTTTAATGAAGAAGAGATCTAAGAATAAGATCTGACTTTCTGAGGAGAAGGTAGTTATCACTTTCTTAAGGCGGGATGTCCCCAAATTTTTTGCACTTAGGTTTTATTCTGACTTTAAAATTTTATTTCAAATTTGTCTCCTTAGGCACCTATGACTAGGGCTTATATTATTAACAAAATTTTGGATGTTACATTGTTTACGATTCTATAATTGCAGCTTATTCAATAAATAAAAAGGGGGATAGAATTATTATTGTTTTCTATTTTAAAACACAATTTATTACTTACCATTATTATTATTATTATTACTTTAAGATATTTATAAATATATAAAAAAATATATAAAGGCTTATGAAGTCTTTATATTTTTTCTCATTCTTCAATTTTAATTACTTTATTTAACTTATATCCTTTATTTCCTAATAATAATTGTCATTTATAAATTACGTTTTAGTATAATCTTCTGAAAAATAAAAATCTTTACAGACACAAATCACAAAAATGAATAACTATTCATAATTGATTTTCAGTAGCGCTATGGTGTTGATTTTCTAAGATTTAATTATTCAGTTGAGTGGAACTATAATTGAGAGCGGGATTAAAATTTTTACCTTAGTTCGAACTAAACTGAATTGTCTTGATAGGTAACTTTACCTGTTTATGGTCGTGGGTTCAAAAATAGCAACGAAATAACCAATTATTTTTCGACTAAGAGGTTTTTTAATTTATTTTTTTCATCGTAATCTCCTTGACACATTTTATTAAAGTAATTTCAACTTATTTTGAAAGGTTTTTCCTTCTTTATTTATCACAAAATAACGAAAGGGTTTTGACGATTTCTCACATATTATTAAAGTTATCTAGAAAAAAGTAATTTTGTGGTGATATTAATATTATAAAAAATGGTGTTGTTAAATGAATCTAATTTTTTTTTGACATGGACAAAATTAAAAGGAAAATAATAAAATGTGTTTTATTCTTTATTCCCCTTATGGTTGGGCTGAGTTATTTCTTATTATTGTGAATTTAATTTATGAAGCACCGAGTTTCAATGTACCCGTTATTATAAATCGTTCTTCAGAAATTCGAAGAACCGATAATATTTGTATTACTTTATCACACAAAACTTCAAGTACGTCAATAACACAATCACGTGCCATCTCTGTGTGATTCAAAGTTGTTTTTATTTTTTTATGAAAGAGATATGATTCTTTTGATAACTATGTGTCTACGATTCGATTATGATTTCCCGATATTTTATTTCAAATCAAGAGGGATGGTTCATTAATAAATGAAAACGTACTATATAACGTTAGTCTTCTATGTCGTCTTCTATTTTTACGATTTATCTTCTATGGTAAATCGTAAAAATCATCATGTCATGGGACATTTCATTAATAGGTTAACATTTTGCTGAATATTTATCTCAATTTTCTCTCAAGGCCTTTCTTAATCATGTTTCTTTTTTTTGTGTTTTATTTTATACATCAATTGATGATTCCGGGATCATAAATTGTATTTAAAAATATACGTAAGGTAATTTTTTCCTGCTTAATATATTTTTATACTACAAATCCCATTTCAAACTTGTTTAAATTGTATATTTTACAGTAATTTTACATAAATTAATTACAAGTAGATTTTAAAATTTTGAATTAAATACGTGAAATTATGTGTTTTAAAAACCGAAAACTTTACAAATGAAAGATACGTTTTCATTCTAAAACATTAAAGTTCACATGCATTTGAATTTATTTAGGACGTTAAACATTGTAATAGCCAACATAAAGTTTTTTTTAGTGGAAATGAATAAAGAATTTTTTTTAATTAATAATCTCTATTGTTACCCAAAATGTTTGACGATTCATACAATTATAACGTTTGTTAAGATTTTTTAATAGAATTTTTGTTGCTTTACGAAATCTTGATATGTATGATGGGTTCTTCAAAAAACCCATTTTACGTCGAAAACTTTGTCATCTGATTCATTTGATTAGATAACAGTTATCTGGCACGTGAATTTATATCAAATAATCTTGAGCTTCGGAACTTTGAACCTTCTCCAATTGCCAGATAAAATCATCGACTGGATGAAACATGAAAAAATACTTTGGTTGAGATTTAAAGCTATATCTTATTCAAAGGAAGTTAAAGTTTTGTCACAGTGTTTCTATTCTATTGTGAACAGTGTTTGGTGTTTTAATAAGAAGAAGAAATAATAGTTATACATATTATTGTTTCATGTTTCGCTCAAAATATTCGCATACTTTTCTATTATGAATTCTGATTTTAGCTTTAAAAAAATGTTTTCATATTAGTTTTCTCACTTACTATTGTATGTTTTTTTTATTTCCTTGAGTTTTGAGTGTAACCATGACAGAGATAGGTAGTTTTTTTGTAATTGTATATAAATATTTGATATTTAAATAAATCTTTACATTCCGTTTATAAGTTTTGAAGACACAAAAACGTTGAACAACATCCCGTACTTGGAAGAGTAATCAAAATATAAAAAAAAACCTCTTTACTTCATTTTAAAACTTAGATGATTAATATATAAAATTTAGTTAATTATACAACTATATTTAATGAAATTTAATTGGTTTGATACGAAAAAGTGATTATGATAGACCCTGGTAGATAGAACTTCGTGAACATTTATGAACAATATAAATTAGTTAAGTCTATTATTCCTATTACCTATCATAAATTAAGCTTAATATAATTAATTATATTATTTAACACCATTTCTGAACATAAAAAAAACTATTTGAGCAAAATATTTAGTTGTTAGTATTTCATTAGCATTGTTGGCTACAATTTTTTTTCAAGTACATTCTTTATATTCACACGATAAAGGCATAATTTTTTGTGACATCAAAAGGATGGCATGCTAATTATTATGTATCATTGTAGCATTATCGGCCTCGACATTTTTTTGTACAAAGTTTACATAATCCATTACTTAAAATGTTATATATAATCTTTTTAGCAGTCTCCTTGGTGTGGATTTATTGCTATTTGTTTTGTTAAGTTATGTGTTTACTATATTGAATTGGCATAACTAGAGCGGTCAACACTATCTGTGAAGTATCTCACATGACTATTGCGAATGCATATTTTTATTGAAACCTCTGACGCTTACTAATTCTCTAGAGAGGTAACGAGTTCAGTTAATCTCGGTGATCACTGGACATCGGACACACATTTTTTTCTTGACTTCTTCTCTGGTCACTAGTTGTATTATTGTTATACAAACGTCCATTTGAATACCAGCAGTCGACACAAACGTGTTTGTTGTGAATTGTTCGTGTGTGCCTTCGTGATGTTTAATATTTCGCTGGCATTTTTAAAACAGGTATTTCATTAATGTTATTTTATATAGTTGATGTT